ATCCGATTTTTTAGAGAGATTTGCATAATGGAGAGATAGGGAGAGAGCGAGATAGAGAGAGGGTGAGAGAGATCATGAGCCAGAAACAGAGAGAATGCGGAAATAAGCTTCAGCTTGAGAGAACCAGCTTTCCGGCGATAATACCGACATCAAAAATTCCGAAAAGGCAAAATACCGACAGGCGACATATCTTTGGCGCTGGCTTGCGGGATTCAGATTGTCGGAATTTTCGTCTTTTCCCAGAGACGAGTGAAAAGAGAGAGAAAAAAAGAGAAAGAAAGATAGAGAGAAAACGAGAGAGAGAGAGCGAGAGAGAGAGAGTGACAGAGAGAGAGAGAGCACGAGAGCGAGAAGTACAGGAGAAGGGTTCTAGACAGAGCTAGAAATTGAGAGAGCGAGAAAAAGATAATTTTTTTAATGGATACTGACGGGTAGAGTGATTTTAAAGGGACGGTGCCGCCAAAGAATTTCGCACCGACATCCATCCCAACTTGAAAATCGGACGAGTGAATGGTAGGAATCGCGACCCACAGCCCATCCCTTATATTACTAAGAATCCACCCGGGACCCCGCCTACCATAATCCCCCTAATCTCTCTCTCTCTCTCTCTCTCTCTCTCTCTCTCTCTCTCTGACTCTCTCTCTCCCGGGAAGTGACTGGCCATCATATCGTGTGGGGAATCCCCAAAAACACCCACGAGTTTCCGCGCTAATCCGAGTGTGGGCCCGGCAGAAAAATGCAAATTACTTCAATGGGCCAAATCCGGGGCTGGGCTTCCTACAAATTTTGATGAGCAGGGCGGATAAGGGGCAAAAAAATGGACCGGGAAATTGAATGAAAGGTCAATGGAGTTAGGGGAGATGACGGTGCTTGTTTGAAGGGACTGGGAATGCGTATAGGCGTAGCGAAACGTACCGTATAACGTGCCGTACATCGTAGTGTAACGCACATCATACTACCAGGTAGCGACGTTTGCTTCGTTTCGTTTTTGCTACCAGGCTTCGTTTTTGTAGGGTGACGTAGCGCCATATCGTAGCGTAACGCAGGTACCCCACTGATGTAATCTAGCGTTACGTAGGTACTCTCGTAGCGTAAAGCAGCGTACTTTCGTAGGATGATGTAGCGTACTATCGTAGCGTAACGTAATTTTAAGTACTGAAGCAGCCAGACGCCTCAAATTCCGTGGCGTAGCTTCACTTAACGGCTGACCGTAGCGTAATGTAGTGTTGGCGCGCAACGTCGCCGTATGAAGACGTATTGCCGTGGAATCACGTAGCGCAGCGTATCGTAGTATCGCAGCGTAGCGTCACTACGTAGGCTGCGTAGCGCCTCGTAGTATCGCCGCCAAGAGTCATTTTGTAGAGTTACGTGGCCCTCCAGAAAGCGTTTTGTAGCGTACTTAGAATAATTGCTTAGCGTAGCTTCACGTAGCGTCACGTTACTTCGTATCTTCACGCCGTATACCTGTGCAGCCTAGCGTATCTGCACAGTATGACGTTTCGTAGCGTCTTAAGGACAAATGCATAGCTTGGCGTATCAACGCAACGTAACGTAGCGTAACGTCACTTCATTTAGTTGCGGAGTCTAGCGTAGATAGGTTGCGTAGCGTACCGTAGCGTCGCGTGGCACCGTATCGTAACGTAATCTTGTCGATTTGTGTAGTTTAAGGCCGTTTAATATCACTTTTCAAGCTCTACGACCCGATTTTTAGTTTCTAGCGTCTCTTAAGTTCATCTGGCATCATTTGCTATAGCTTTCAAGTTCCAAAATCCGACGAGTACGCACGGCTCCTTTTGACAAGTTCCCCCCAAATAGCCGTTTTCCTTAGAAATTCCCAGACAGGCATTCTATTTTCCATCCATTCAAAACACCCTCAAAAAACAACCGTGTGAAAGCGCACTCATCCGTGACCAGCCTCTATTGCTCTCATCAGCGATTTTTGGTTTATTTTTGAGGGTTATCCGGTTCTGGGCTGTTAGCGGGGGGATTTTTAGCAGAGGGGGAAGCCAATTTCTGTTTTTTTTTCATTTTTTGGTGATATAGAATGTATCTTTATAAGGTTGCCAGCAATTTTTCATTGCTAGAAAGTTACAAAACATCTAAAAAATTTTTGAAAATTCGAAAAATTTGAGCTTTTTTGGTCATTTTTGCATTTTTTGAGCAAAAAGTTGATTGTCGAAAATTTTGATTATTTTTTATTATTGGTTTTATACCTAAAAACTATGTCAAATGCCAGAAAAAAGGTTTAAATTTTGTTATAGGGCCGTAGAGAACCATAGGGGACAATCGCCCCCCCGCTAACAGTCCAGAACCGGATATCCTTGCCCCCCGGTTAACCACGGTTCGTAGACCATTGCAATTCCCCCGTTGCTGACGCAAGTTACGTTTTAGAGTTTTTTTTCAGGCCGGGAGGAAAGTCTTGGGGGACGTCATCTCGGACTTTTGCCGGGAATCTTGGAAAACATCTGCCAATTCTTTGATTACCACCTGTCATAAATCAACTCCGCCACCACCATCCGGTCTTTTTTGGGCCCGCAAATTATCCAGAAAAATTATTATTTTGGGGCTTCATAGGCAGGAGCGGGAAGTTATTTCGGAGAATTTGGTGGTTGGCCAGAAGCGGGGGGAGGGGGTTGTTTTTGGAGGGGGATGGGCGAGATTTGGGGCTCGAAATTGGTCCTAAAAATGTATTAATGGGGCTGGCAAGACTGGACCGTGGATTTTGTTGTCTATGGCTTCCGTATGGACCCCTTCGCGCCGCGCGAGGCGACGCACACGCCCCGCGGGGAGATACGCGCGGCAGCCTCCCAATAGGGAAGATGAAAATGCGTGAAAGAGGGAATAAGAGCATGAGCATGAGCATGAGAGATAGTGAGAGAGACAGAACGAGCAGGAGCTAGAGAAATCGTCGAGAGGGAGAGAGAGAAAATGAGCATCAGCTAGAGAGAGCTAGGGAGAGGCGGAAAAAGAAACAAAGCGAGCGAGAGAACCAAAGTGCCAGAGAGAAGCAGAGGGAGAAAGAGAGAGAGAAAGAGAGGTGAGAGAGAGGGTGAGAGAGAGAGCGTGGAGAGAGAACGAGCCTGAGCATTAGAGTCGGAGTAATGATGAGGAAACTACCAAAATTTGCCTACGCCAAGACCCTCTTGTCACACTCCCTTTAAAATGTACAAACTTTCGTCAGTGGGTAGCGAAACGGATCACCGCATGAATCAGCATAATTGCCAACCCAAAATCCCGAAATTTCAATCTCTTCTCCACCTACGAGCTTTTCGGCTTATCCCTCCCAAGGCTACTTTTCGGATTTCGGATTTGCAATTTCCATCATTCAAAAACAAACGTCCAGACGTTGAGGTAATCTTCCCATTGAAATTATTTGAAAAATCCAGGTTGATTCAACTTTTTTGTGTCGGATTCTTGGGAAATCAGTTTCCGCCCCGGTGGGCTGGTCATTCGAAATGAATGGTTGATGAGGGAGAAAGGGGGGGGGGATTAATTCTCGACGAGAGCAATGATTCGACTATTGTATTCTCATCCGCATTTTCGTTGAGAGAAAAGAATGGAATTGTTGAAAGGGGGAAGTCTATGATCATTCGGATTAACCAGAAATCATGAATTTTGTGGAAAGGGGGTAGCTTTAAAGGGAGCGGAACAATCCATGTGGAAAGGTTTATGTCGGTTGGTCTTTCTCTCTCTCACTCTCACTCTCTTTCCCTCTCTCTTTCTCTCTCGCTCTCACTCCTTCTCTCTATCTTTCTCTCTCTCTCCCTCTCTCACTCAGCCTCCCTATCTATCTCACTCTCTCTCTCTCTCTCTCTCTCTCTCTCTATCTACATCTCACCCCAGAAATCCTGTGGAACCGTCGCGAGAATGCTCGATTCCAGACTCATTGACCCCCTGAGCGTCATCATCCAAACTCAAATTTCAATTTTCGGGTACACGTTTCAATCCAAATCCAAAAACCCACACGTACACCCCTCATGACCAAGAGACGCTTTTTCGCCCAGCTTCCCCCGCTCCGGATGTGCCATTTAGGGCTATCCGGTCCGGACCGGGGCGACCGTTCCGTACGTCCCCGATAATTCGGGGCTTCGGAAAAATGTTGAGATCATCACATCCGGAACGCAGTCACCCCGCCGCCACGACTGGCCACAATACCTCACAATCCTACGATTTTTGGCGGCGTGTCACAGACGATGTTTGTACCGATATCCGGCCAAGAATCGACATTTATCGGGCATTAATAACTACGACGGGGATAGGTGAATGCGGGGGGGGGGAGCGCTCCATAAATGGCTATTTGAGGGATACGGTGTACAAGGTACGGGGAGCGAAATTTGGTCGGCGCCGAGTCGTGACTTTTACGTCATCGTTGTTAAATTCTAGTGTGTCTAGGGATTTAAGGAAGCAGGGAGAGGTAGAAAAAGAGAGAGAGAGAGCGAGAGAGAGAGAGATAGAGATAGAGAGAAAAAGTGAGAGCGAGAGAGAAAGAGAGAGAGAGAAAGAGAGTGAGAGAAAGAAGAGTGACCCCGGGGTATCTTTACAACACTCGGCTACAATTTTGTGGCCAGGTGGTCCCCGGATCTTATGACCTGGCGTGACTGCGAGCTAAAAGCGGAAAAGCCTACGCCAAATTACTGGCCATCAAAATGCGACCTAGAGGCTCTACGCAAGATACTTTCCTAATGTCGAACTTTCGTGATTCGCGTCGCGCGGGAGGCTCTCCGGGGCACCATCTGGTCACAAAATGGTAGCCGAGTGTTGTAATAAGTTCTAGGAGGTCACTCTCTTTCGTCTCTCTCTCTCTCTCTCTCTCTCTCTCTCTCTCAGCCTCTCTGACTCAGCCCGTCGCTTGGATACCTTCACAACACTATCCATTGATCGACCTAACCTACTACCATAGTTTTAGTGCTTCATAAAAAGCTTCTTAAATGTTTCTTTAGCAGCGTCACCTTTTTTGGAGACCCTGTATATGTGGAATTGTTATAGTTGTTGCCATCACAATGATCCGACAGCGTTCGATCTCACCCGGGTGGAAGCAGAAGCCATTCGTCGACAACGTACGGTTCGATCAGCCATTCGATAAACACCTAAAAAATTTACGAAGCGCTCGGATTACCGCTCAAAAATAAATTAATATAAAGGCTTGTAGCAGAAACGAAAATGACCATCAAAAACGGGGGTTAGAATGCTGGTTTCGGCATTTGCGCCATTTCTCGTTATTCTTATAAGACCCTTCGATAAAACATGGCAAAATATGCCGAGCGCGTTAATTTCAGCGCAACATCATGTAATGGAAAAACGTTAAAGGGGCTCCGAACTGCCAAATCAAAGCCCTTTTGGGAGGCCTCTTTGATTTCTGGCAAATTGCCAGCGGGCGCTGTAGGACGAGAGCCCCCACTCTTTCGATTTTTGCGCTAAGTTGTTTTTGCCCGGTTTCTTTGTGAAAACACTATAATTCGCGCATTCTGAGCCCATTTTTGAAATCCTCACTCAATTTTAAATAGTTTTGGTGTTTTAATCATCAAATTTGGCCCAGAAACAGCCGAGAACGTGATTTCGAGGTGACAACAGGCAATTTCAAACTTGCGAGCTTCCCGGGCGCCTGGGTGTACAGAGGCGTCCGACGTACAGGGTTCCGATTTTCGGGCCGTCACTCAATTTTTGGCATTTCGTAGCCCCTTTAAGGCAAAAACAAGAATTACGCGCGGTTTCCTGGCACATGATTTGGATACAATCATAGGTTCGAAATATTCGACATTTTTAGAAACCTTCTTCAACGCCATTCGATAGATTGCTAAAAACCCAGGAAGAGTGGCCACAATATTCAATTCTTTCTAGAGTCGCGAGAAGAAGCCACGCGTACGAAGCGCCTCAGTGGGCCCACGAATTGGCAAGAAAAGGGAGTGGAAAGTCAGATGGATGCCCAAAATATTGTAAGACGAGAGAGAGAGAGAGAGAGAGAGAGAGAGAGCGAGAGAGAGAGAGCTAGAGCGAGAGCGGGAGAGCGCGAGAGAGTGCGAGAAAAAAGTGAGATATACCCATTTTAGTTTTTGGTTGCCCTGCTACGGTACCCTACGTCGTCATATCTGTCGTCGCGATCTTGACATGAATACTTGGACTTGCAGAGCTAAGGCGGGTCCAGGGTTGAAAAGCCGCGCAGCGGCTTTTCACAATAAGCAACTTGTGTTTATCCTTCATGCCCAGCATTTTTAAGCAAACTTGTATGGTATCGATGGTCCAATTCGTTTCCCCTAGCGGGATATTTTTACCTAAACTAGACTTTTTATCACTTACCTAATCAATGGGATGTGTTGTGGATTCCATGTCCTAATCGCGTCATTTAGTACAACATCCAGGACCAGTCAACGTCGACGATCATCAAAATATGGATATTGATGCAGCCGGCCGGTCTCTTCCTCTTCCATCGTCTATTCCTGCATCAACTACGTTACTACGGCTACGGCGATTGGGTACGCTATCAATGGATTGGGTCCTTCCTGCATAAGTGGGGCGGATTTTGACGGGTACCATTCCCCCCCGCCCTAGCTCAAACTCTACGGTTTTCGAATATAAAAAGCTTGGAGCAATAATCATATTATCGAAACTTTTTGACTTTAACTTACTTTGCTTCATTTGGTAATGGGACATATGCTTTCTGGTGCAGACAGAGGAGGCGGGCAGATCATCCATTTGTTGCAGCTGGGCTCCGACGACGCGGCAGCCGAGTGGCCATTCCGAGTGCACATCATCGAGACGGTGGTCGGGTGGGTGAGCGGGATCTTTGCCGTTTTATTCGCCGGTACGTTTAAGTTATCTGACCGAAAAACATTTCATCAAAAAATGGTTGTTTCGCATTATCGGGGAGGCGGGCGAATGTTTTTGCATAAGTCGTCCAGAAATTACTATCCTACTAGAAGCTGAGCAAAACCGGCCGATCCGAATCGTAAGGGGGCGGAAAAATCCAGGCTAATGTTTAGTTTTGCCTAGGGTTGTTTCTCGGAACAGACCGAGATTCGGAACTTTCGGAACAAAGACTGGTCGGAACGTTCCGAGATTCGCGTGTTCCGGCTGTTCCGAGATTCGGAACATTCCGAGATTCAAATGTTGCGGTTGTTCCGAGATTCATAGTGTTCCGGTTGTTCCGAGATTCGGAACAGTCCGAGATTGAGCTGCTCCGAGATTCAAATTTTTTCGCATGTAAATTTCAATTTCGTGTAAATTGTGTAGATTGCATGTAACTGTTTCGATTTTGCCGTGACACGGCAGTGTGGGCGCAACTGAACACTTAATTCCGTCGATGGTTAGATACCGAATCTGGAAATTAAGGAAATGAGAACGAATTGGGGATCGAATCGAATCGAAATTCAGTCGTGTTTGGAAATTTACATGCGAAAAAATTTGAATCTCGGAACAGCTCAATCTCGGAACGTCCCGAATCTCGGAACAGTCGGAACAATATGAATCTCCGAACAACCGCAACATTTGAATCTCGGAATGTTCCGAATCTCGGAACAGCCGGAACACGCGAATCTCGGACCGTTCCGACATTCGGAACAGTCGGAACGGTTCGCCGCCCTATCAGAATCTCTAAATTTCAGAATCTCTAAATTTCAGAATCTCTAAATTTCAGAATCTCTAAATTTCAGAATCTCTAAATTTCAGAATCTCTAAATTTCAGAATCTCTAAATTTCAGAATCTCTAAAAATCAGTATCTCTAAAAATCAGAATCTCTAAAATCGGAATCTCTAAATTTCTTTGTTTCTCGCCGCCGAGCCATACAGTTTTTGGCGCAAATTGAAACTGTATGGCGCTTTTACTCAACGTCGCCTGTGAAAATATTTTTTGGGGTAGTTTTTTGCCCTGATCACGAAAAACGTAACCACGAATCACAAAAAGTCAAAATGAATTGCTTATAGCAAAACCAAGTTTTGAAGACAACAGTTGTAACCAAGCACGGAAAAATGGCGCTATGGAAATGCATTTACGTTTTACGTGATTAGCGCAAAAAATTACCCCAGAAAAAGTTTTCAGGGGCGTCTTTGGGTAAAAGCGCATTACAGTTTCAATTTGTGCCAAACTCTGTATGGGCTCTTGTACAAAGAAATTTAGAGATTCCGAAATTTAGAGATTCCGAAATTTAGAAATTCTGATTTTTAGAGATTCTGAAATTTAGAGATTCTGAAACTTAGAGATTCTGAAATTTAGAGATTCTGAAATTTAGAGATTCTGAAATTTAGAGATTCTGAAATTTAGAGATTCTGAAATTTAGAGATTCTGAAATTTAGAGATTCTGAAATTTAGAGATTCTGAAATTTAGAGATTCTGAAATTTAGAGATTCTGAAATTTAGAGATTCTGAAAGTCCCCCGAACGGTTCCTGTTCCGAATGTTCCGAATCTCGGCCTGTTCCGAGAAACAACCCTAGTTTTGCCCCCCCTTCCCCGCTGGAGGTTTTTGCCGAACTTCGACCAGAGTACCTTATAATTCATGCAGAAAAGTATTATATCCGATCGGTCCCAAAATTGGACTAGAGATGTTACAGACCCTAACAAGGAGTCGTTTTTAGGTGATATTGGAGTTTTTGAGCGAGACCTAGCTAGTTCGATTGAGACAAAAATTCTGAGCAAGATGTCGTTTTCCAAATCTGCTAACCGTGTATTGTATTCGATAAAAATTTATTTGAAAATCATTAATTTCGCCATCATTTCTCACCTGATCCGCAGTTTTGGCTCTGGTGGTGCGCGTGAACATAGCCCCCTTCAGACCCTTGAACCACCATGATCGCGTGGAATATTGGTAGTGCACTTGCCTCATAAGTTTTTTCTTTTTTTTTGCCTTCGGGTTCGACTCCTAGCTAGTGAAACTCTTTTGCTTTTTGCTCTGTGATGCCAAATATGGCCTCAATAGCGTTTAAAACCAAAAAGCAAAACAGCTAATCAAAAAAAGTTCCGAACTCCGAGCATAAATTTGCAAAAGTTTGGTAGGCGCCTGCACTATCCACTAGGCCACGATCTCATGCGGATGCTGGTTCGCATTGCGGCCTATGGCCCGGGCCTGATCCATCTGTGGCAGCGTGGCGCCACGGAATTTTTTCATTAAAATTCATTTTTTTCGAATACAATACACGGTTAGCAGATTTGGAAAACGACATCTTGCTCAGAATTTTTTTCTCAATCGAACTAGCTAGGTCTCGCTCAAAAACTCCAATATCACCTAAAAACGACTCCTTGTAAGTAAGCACAATCCTGCCTGAATAGCCGTTCCCGCTCATCCCGCCCAAGAGTTTTCGAGCCACAACGCAACTACTGTTTTTCCAAGATTTTTCACACATTTTTTTCAGCCATCGTTTTGGCCTTTGCGTCGATTTGCATCGGATCCGTAATTTCGGTTAAAAGGCCGTCCGCGAGTCACTCGAACAGTCCCCATTATAGCTTGGCACAGTTTTTTTCGACCCCGATTTCTTGATGCCATCTGATAGAGCGTGGTCGAATTAGAGGAATTGCACTAATTTGGGATTTTTAAATTAGCATATTCCTAGTTAAACAAGGCGTTAAAGTTGCCAACCTCCAAAATTTATCTCGACGACTACTTGACAGAATTGGCTGAAACTTTGTGACTAGGCCTAATTTGGGATGGGGATCATTTTTCTAATACATCGCGAAGCACGAAAATTAGCAGAACCTAGTTAAATTGCATACCCAAAACAGTTTTTGCCAAATTTCAAATTAACGGCGAGTCGGCCGCAAGCTGGAATTAGGCTAGAAAGATGCGCAAAATTTTTCTGCATCGATTGATGTATTATTTAGGTGGCGGCCAGGTCGCTGTTTTCTCACAGCGAGGTTTTTATAGCTGAAAAATGGTCAGAAAATCTGACTAAAACCAAAAATTTTGCGATTTTCTATGTTTTGACCCACGGGGTCATATTTAACGATCACGCCAAGCTAAACGCAAAAATTAGCAAAAAGAAATTCGACATTTGAAGGGGTGCTTGTTTTGGGCGGGAATCGAACCTGGACCCTCCGCCTGGGAGCCCTGTGGCGCAGTGAGTAGAGCGTCGGCGTGCCAATCCAGAGCCGCCGCCAGTTCAATCCCAGCTCACTCTCAGAAGCCGAATTTCTTTTTGCTCTTTTTTGCAATCGACTTGGCATGATTTCTTGATGCGTTTTGACTACTCCGATATGTAAATACCACCATATTTTCCATTTTAGTCAGATTTTCAGACCATTTTTCAGTTATAAAAAGCTCGCTGTAAGAAAACGGCGACCTGGCCGCCACCTAAATAATGCATCAATCGATGCAGAAAAATTTTGCGCATCTTTCTAGCCTAATTACAGCCTGCGGCCGACTCGCCGTTAATTTGAAATTTGGCAAAAACTGTTTTGGGTATGCAATTTAACTAGGTTCTGCTAATTTTCGTGCTTTGCGATGTATTAGAAAAATGATCCCCATCCCAAATTAGGCCTAGTCACAAAGTTTCAGCCAATTCTGTCAAGTAGTCGTCGAGATAAATTTTGGACGTTGGCAACTTTAACGCCTTGTTTAACTAGGAAAATGCTAATTTAAAAATCCCAAATTAGTGCGATTCCTCTAATTCGACCACGCTCTATCAGATGGCATCAAGAAATCGGGGTCGAAAAAAACTGTGCCAAGCCTTGTTCGGGTCTCTCGCAAACGGCCTTTTAATATCGGGTGTTTCTGAGCCGAAAAAATATGGGGGGAACAGTATTTCCAGTGTAACTCGAGAACTACTTGGGCGATCGGGCTATGAGTCAGGATTGTCGTTATTTAGGGTATGATCCACCTCTGGTTCAATTTTAGGACCGATCGGAAGTAACACGGCGAAATGCCGAGGGGGTCGTTTTTGGGACACCCTGTATATATGTCCCCACGATGCTGAGGCCATGTTTCAGTTCTAACATGGCTGGTACGAATCTCACCCGGCGGCCATCTCCGCGAATGTGGGTGTCCCGTCAGCTGGAAGGTGCGTGCATTCCCTGACTGTAATTTGTGGAGATGGACCAAATGACAACTTATAAGGCTCATTTCTAAGAAATCTTGTGGGCAGCCGCGAAAAAGCGCATGAATCTGATTCCCCACTACTGCTTCTATAACCTCGCTGAATTTGGTGATCCTATGATCCCTCTACGTACTTTTATGGCCAAAAAACGTAAGGTCCAGGAACTTTTGCGGCACCCTGTACATACAGAAACTGGAAAAGAGCATCTCGAGACCATTACGCATCTAATTACGTTCTGCATTCGGCCATCCCGGCATTTTTAATTTTTCAAATTATTGTCTGGATTCAGATCGCCGAAAAATTGGACACGCAAAAAGCGCTGTGGCAAACTACAATAACAGACTTGAAATGTGCAAAAAATAATAAATTTGTTAACATTTTTCGACCTTTGAGTGACGAGTAAAGTAATGTCTAACCAGGGATAGAAAGTGAGAGATAGACAGAAAAAGAGAAAGAGATAGAGAGAGCGAGAGAGAGAGAGCGAGCGAGCGAGAGAGATATCCAACCCCGGTAAATAATCACTATTCCAGCAGCGGCAATTGGCGATGGCCGAACCGGGGACAGACTGGTCGTGTTGCCAGTGGGTTCCGTTTGTCGGGCCATGGCTTCGTCGCGAAATGGAGCTTGAACGCACATATGATTGTGATGAACAGGTGCCCACTTTTATGCAGAACAAAGATTTGGCATCTATCGAAAGCCCTCGGCCTAGCGACGAAATCAGCTCTCTTCGATTTTCAAAACTCCGGAATTTTTGCTTGATTTTGGACCGATTTCACGCAAACTTATACTTTTTTAATCCTTTAGGATTCCTGGATTCCTGGGAAATTGTTTTTAAAGACCCTTGGAAAGATGGCCGGGAAAAATGTCTCTGCGCCTCTCCCCTGGGCGCCCTCTCTCGCCGCTGCATCTGCTGACACCCAAAGGGGGGTTCAACAGATGCCATTCCTCATCCCTTTAACTGTTCCCGAGCATAAACATCTAACAAAAATGAATTTAGTCGAAAAAATTTACCAACTTCGTTTTTTAAAGTCCTGCTTCAAAGGTGGTGAAAACTTCCATTTGTAAGAAAGTAAAAAAAAAGTTTTATATTGAATTTGTTAAAAATTGATATTTGCAGCGCCGAGAGCTGGAAGGCTATCTTCTTTTGCAAGTGATCTTCTTGGTGTGGCATTTGTGCTTTGCCTTCTATTGGGTACGCCGCCTTGTTGCGACTGTTTCCCGCTATGCCTCCACGCAACCACCTGAGGTACGTGGGAGAAGCGCAGTTGGTGCTCATCTGTTAGGGAAGAACCAGTTTTTCCCCCGGTAATCCCCGTAAGGCTCTACGACGGGTAGAAAAACGCATAGACGGTAGACCCTGTAGACGGCTAGACTTTATGTTCCCTTTACGTTCATTACGGGATAGAATAATTTAATCAGGAAAAGTTTTATCAGAAATTTAGTACCCATGGGCTGAGGGATGAAGTAATAAAGTTTGACCCGCTAGATCATGAAAAATATATATATGCAACTAAAAATACGCTCACAAATGAATATTGTATCAACAAGAGTACAGGGGTATTTGGATGCCACTTTTCCGGATGTAATGACTGTCGGCGTAATAATCGGAATTCGTGCTTTGTTGCAGGGTGATGTGCCCCCATTCTGTGACGATTGGTTCGTCATCGATTGTTTTATCGGCACTATATACGCCATGCTGCTTTACGGTAGGCTCTTCCTTTGAACTGTCCGCAATAACTTTCAACCCCCAGATAGCTACAGTAATTTTCGAGCTATTGCTATGTACATGGTTCTCGAGTATTCGGGGGGGGGGGGGGAAGACCCCCACCTTTTTTCTGTTGGCCCTGGTGGGCCTGTAATCAAATATAAAGTGTTTTCACATTGTTTTTAGCAAAATTTAAGCCTATTTTAATAGCAAAGACTTTTTTAAAAGTTAGAATAAAGTTTGAAAAAGTCAAAAATTTTGTCATTTTTGGGTGGAAAAAAAGGATTTTTCGACTTAAAATTAAATTTTTTAATTAAATTTTGTAAAGTTTGTATGCTTAGGAATAGCTATAAACAATTAGAAACGCTTCCACTATTTATATAAAAAATATAGGCTTGAGCCGAAAAAAGTTCGGTTCCCCCCGATTCTTTCCCCCCGCCCCCCTCTCAAGTACCAAGTACATATATGCTAAACAAAGTGTAATCACCCCCACGATTAATTTTATGCAGCAAAAATGGAGAAAGGAACTGAAAAAGAAAGCCCGAGTTAGCCCATGCAACCCTATAACGCAATATACGTTATTGGATTATTGTAAGTAAAAGGCTGCTAAAATCCGCGAGGAGCCGAGAATTACATGCGTTGGAACAAAAACTAATCGCAGATTCCGATTGAGAGCAAATAATGGTCCAGAAGCCAGAGAACTCGCTTGTTGCAAAGTCAAGTTTTCACTTTGCGCCGTCAAAAAAAATACTGTAGTATCAATTCCAGCAACCTTCTGCTGGAGACGTCCCAAAAGTGAGCATGCCCGTCCGGGGAACTGCTGTCCCGAACGTCCGTCGGATTTGGCCGTGGGCGCCTGGCGACACCAATCTCTACAAACCCAACAAAAAACGAAGTTGATTTGAATTTCTCACCTTTCAAGACGGCCAGTCTCGACATTTAAATTTGCTACCGTGTTTCAATTTAATGGGGGCGGCGGTTGGGCCAACATTCTGGATATGTGCATTTATACTTATCGCTCAAGCTTGCAATTCGCTGCTGTAAATTAACTCGGCATCGCATTATTTCCTGGATAAAACAATCACTGCTAATCACACGACGCGTTCGGAAACCTAGCTTTATTTGGCTAGGCTCGAGGCACTGACTGGATGTTTGAGCTGAGTCTAAACCTGCTATGCGCTCAAGGCGCGTGGGCGCTGAAATGCTCAACGGCGTCAACACGTAAAGTTTATTCAGAATGGATTATACGATGATATCTAGAGGAGATGGCTACAACAATTAGCACAGATGGGGACGTGCATACACAAAAAAAGGATACGACAGTGCGGTTAAAGGGGCCCCAAACTTTTGGAACTGCAACGTCAATCTAACTCATGTCAATCTCCAACAGGATCTCTATCTAACTAGCTATCGAACCTAATTCCAAGCCGAGAACGAGGAATAGTTTGCGCCCAAACATCTTTCTACGAGAACAAACTGCAATACACAACGAATCGCACGAATAAGATTGTCGGCTGCACCGTAGTAGCTCACTTTGGAGAGCCAACATAGCACCGCCATGAGGAGATACATTGATACAGCAATGGACCCACCACACAATCGAGTAAAGAGGGAATAATGGGGCGTGATAGGAGTAACATTGGGTTTCTTTTTGTAGACGACTTGACGGTAGAGCAGCGACGCGATCAGATCGTTCAAAGCAAGTATTATCCCAGCGAGGCATTCACGGGCTATCTAGATGAAAGCAACACTTCAAAAGCAAAACATATTTCAACTCACTTCGATCGGGGGCATCGGCGTTCCCAGGCTTTCCCAAGCCGCAAGCAAAACAGCTAACAACTCAATGAAGAGCGCTACACAAGTGTCGAGCGCGACGGCTCCGTAGTAGACAATCTGTAAAACCAACATACTGATGGAAAGGGTGCTTTGAAGCCAAAAGCTTCCACTCTTGAAAATAAAATACCTTCCAAAGCCAACGCTGCAGCCTTTATCTGCAATTAAAGTTGTGTGAAAAAAGCTAAAGCGGCGCACACTGCTCAGTAGACCTCCCGAACCTCTCCCCCTAAACCCCGCTCCCAACCCCCCTCTGTGTCCGTCTGCGTCTCTCCTCTTTCCCCACTATTTCGCCTCTCTCGCGCGAGATAGTGCGGAAAGGGGGAGAGCGCAGAGGGGGGTTGGGAGGGGGGTTTAGGGGGGTTTAGGGGGGTTCGAGAGGTCTACTGCTCAGCATCTTTTCGAAAATCAATTACCTCCCTATTAGGCAGCATCGATCCTCCAGCCACCGAAGCAGCCGTATTTCCGGAAATAAGACAGATCTGAAAGTATTGTTTACGTTCCACAAAAATATATTACCTCTTTTTTTTCGTCCATATTGGGCAAAAACATGCACAAAACGCTGAACTAAAATTCGAGAATTCCAAAAAAAAGGAAATAAAGTACACAGTGCCATGCGTCATCGGGAAAGTGGGTAGTGGATTTCAGTGGCTCCAGACTCTGAAAAAAGCTCATGGAAAAAATAAAAGCCAATATCTGAAGAATTATCAAAAATAGAATGTCTGAAAAGCTTGGGACTGATGTCTAATCAAGCTGGACGCTTCCGAAATTAGAATATATGTAAAACAGCCAACCTTGCAGTCGATCGGGTGAAGGCCTGCAACGCAAAGGAGCAGCAAAAACAGTATTAGCGGCCTTGACACACTAAAAAGTGGTATTAGGGAACAGCACGCCGAGAAAAGTGTAAAATGGGTGAGCAAAGTTACTTACCGCTCAAGGCCGTTCAGCAGCGAGCGGAAGATCGGCTCGACGAGGCATCCGTTCAGGCGCACAGGGTGGACATCCCGGGGACTCGGCTTGCCCTGCAAAAAAATATTTTCGGATAATTTCTGCGCGGAATAATAAGGCCATAAAACCAGCGAAAGGCAAAAAACACACCTGAAGTCCCTTGACGAGCATCGACGTCGACTCGGTGATGTTGGCGGGAATGATACCGCCCTCCAGGACAGCGATCACACGATCCGGGCAGATCTCGTGCAGATCGCGGGGAATATGGCCCCAGCCATGAGCACGAAGGGCTTGGCCGCCCTCGAACATCGCGTCAGCATAGCCGGAATCCAGCCGACCGCCAGGAGGATCATTTTCCGCTTGATCTCACTGGAAAACAATACGAGAGTTCCATGATGCTCAAACCATACCGAAGCACGGGCAATATAGCGTGGTTCATGATGGCCATGTATTCGTCCTCGCTGTTCAGCTGCACGTTGATCGGGATGAACGTGACATTACCTAACAGAAATGCTATAAAAAGGTATCAAAGTAGCTTACCGTCCTTCGGATCGCAGTCGTAGTCCTGGGTGAACGGCCAAAACAGTCCGTAACAGTACGAGTGGACCGAGAACAGAACGATCTGCAATTTTAAATTTAATAACTAAGGAAAATAGCGTGCTACCTTGGACTTCACTCCCTGACCCGTGACGCGAGTGGCATTGTACGTTCCGACCGGGGCATGCACATCCAGATCGAGCGCCACCACCTAATTGCAAGTCAATCTCAAACCAACAAAACTCTAAATACCTTCTCCATGCCGAGCTTCTTGACGAGCGCGAGCCCGCCACCGACAGCCAGTCGAGCGGCCTTCTCGCTGCCCGGGGATAGCCATAGCAGCTCCTTGTCCTTGCAAAACTTCTCGCACTGGTCCGGGGTGCTGAGCGCCGTGATCTGAAAGTCAGAGAATATGAGAAGTAAACACCCGACTACCTGCTTGATGAAGTCCTTGGTGTGCACGAGGGCCAACTCGTCATCGGTGGCCGGGCGAGCCTCCACTTTCACCGCATCCTAAACGAAAATAAGCGAGCTGTGTAACGCTGATACCGTCAAAAATCCATCGGCGTGTAGACGATCACGGACGAGCTTGGTACGCTCGGGAACATCCGACTAAAATAATAAGGTAAAAAGAAACTAATAAGTTTTCCATTTTTTGCGCAGAGTTCGAATTTCAGTTTAGACTATAAAAACTTAATTTTCGGCTAAAAGCTACAAGAAAAGCACAAAATGACCGTTAAAATACGTTCTGAAAGAAAATGTGAAAATCGAGGAGTTTTTCTATCTGTAGGTCAATTGTAGCACAACTGCGCTAACTAAGTCAGGTGTCTTTTTGCCTTCTAAAAACGCCAAATTAGAAAAATGCGCACTAGATTACCACAAAAAACTTGTTTTGATAAAGATTTCCATACCTGGGTGGGGTCGTATTCGCACTTGTGGCTGTTGATCCCCTCATCGTAGACGTAGGCAAACTTGCGGACGACCCTAAAAGCAAATTAAAGGGAAAAACACCAAAGCCCACCCCTGGGTGTAAAGCCAATCCTTGAGTTTGGTTAACTTGACGAATCTCCTCGTAGGGTCCATCCACGGATGCATCGGCTTGAAGTGGCTGCCTACAAAAAAAGAATAGAGTTTACGGATTTGCGATTAAACTATTTTTTTGCCGCAAATCGAAAGTTTTGATAATGTTGTTTTATAAAGAAATTTTACTACAATTTGGCTTTATTTCCAGACCATCCTGGAAATTATAAAAAAGATAGCGTTGCTCAAAAATCGACATTTTTGGCCGAAATCCCGAGTTGTACTTTTAAATCTTAAATATCAAAGTTAAATTTAAATCAAATACGAAATGATCAAAGTTTTTGCAGAAAGAAGAATAGTTATAAACTAGCGCAAAAAAGGTTAGTGATAATTGAAAGCCCATTTCCCACTGCAAAACGCTTTGCGCCGGATCAAACCCCAAAAATTCTAAAAACAACTAGTTTTACAATAAACATAAGTACATTATTAGAAAATTGTAAAAAGAGCTAAATAGGCCAAGAAAATGCGCGAGCTGAAAATTCGAGAGAGCTGAAAGCGCTGCTCCGCGACAAACCTATGTACGATCAGAAGTCCTGTGGAGCGGGGTACGGTCGCCGGGTCGGTCAATAGGCGGCGACATCCGCCCACGCTCCTGGCCTTGGTGATCTGAGATTTGGCTTACTAAATAGTTAGAGAAACGAGCGGCAGCAGATTAACAAAAATTGGGCTTTAGAGAAATTTACACGGTCTGAATTATGTTTTTTTACGTTTTGGAAAAGCTACGACCTTAAAGGCTTCTATCTATTTTCGCTTACATTTTTAAATGTTAAGAAGTTTTTTGGGAGGTATGCGCGTTTTTCGAGTTATAGAAGCTTGTGGAATTTTCTATAACTTTAAACGCAACATGTCCAGTTCGTGCGTTGAGCGTTTTGTAGAACTTGAACGTTCGAGCTTTCGAGCGTTTTTAACAAATGCCTTATACTTGACTGGTATTCATTAAGTCTTTTAGTAGTTTAGTTTACTATAATTTAAGCAAACAAGTACATCTGGTAGATACGTTAGACATTAAGGCGCCATTTCAGCGGAGTTTTGTAGTATCAAACAATTGTTTTGAATTATCAATTCTGGTTTTAGAGTATCATGATGAAAAGAATGGGGGGAAAAGGTTTGAATCTTCTCTTTATGAGTAGAAAAGCTTCAATACAAGTTTACCTATGCCGGTATCCGGTACTTCGGGGTGTCCCAAAAAATCGACCCCCTCTAGCGGTCCCGAGAAAGGTCGGATCGGGATGATTTTTACACCATTCGAAAGCTCTCGTAAAGGCGAGGAAAGAAGGGCTTTTCGGTTTACATTTTTTAGCCGGTTCTTGATATTCAACGGTTACTTAAAAAAGCCTAAAATCAGCATCGTCCTGTTTGCTTTAGCAAGCAATTAACATGCTGCTTTTGCATAAAATCTGCAGTTTTCATGGATTTTGGTCCTAAATTTAGTGAATCAAAATACCCATATTGAAAAACGAAAAGTGCTTGTTTTCTCGCCTTTTCGAGAGCTTTCGATAGATACCTAAATCGTCACAATTGGACATGACTGCGGCCCGCTGGAGGGGGGCCGATTTTTTTGGACGCGCTGGACATATCAGGTACTAAAATTAGGTTGGCGGGTGACTCGGTTTCTGAGAACGAGAAGAATGTCCATTACGAGCCAGGTTTACCTAGATTTCATGTAAATAAGTCGTCTATATGGTTACAGTGTGATCGCCCACTTCGCCTAAACTTCTGTGCCGGCTGATGTGAGCTTTTCAGGCCTATTTAAAACATGTTTTTATCAAGTTCCATCTAAACCGCGTATGGAAGACAAATCGGTTGTTAAAAATGCAGGCAAAACTATGTATCAATTTTTAATCGCTAGTTGTTAAATTGGCTTTTACAGGGCGCTTTCCGAAATATGCCCTGAACTAATCTGTGCGATAGTATTCGTAACTCACGTATTTTGGAAATTCTGGCTCGTGGTGCCGATTCGGTTTGAGGGAAACCGATACGCTTTCGTGTCCTTCTTTTTCACCGGTGATCTCCACAGAGCAACGCGCTCCCGGAGACTCATGCTCTCTTATTCTGCCACTCCCTTGTGAAGGAAAATCGGGTCTCGAACCATCTAACCATATGTAAAAATGGTGCCTGTCTGTACGTGTGTATGCGTTTGCATGCAGCTTCTGTCAATTGCGCGTATATTGTTCTGTTTAAATGCGACTCTCTTTAATCGCGAGTTTGCCCGATAATATCTTTATCCCTTCCATTCATGTTTTTTCTTAAACGACATCAAATAAAAGAAGTTCACGGCATTCAGCGTCTCGAAAATGATGAGCAGCAACAGATTTGGCTGGATCAGCCGCCGTGTCGTCAGATGTGGCACGGATTTTCTGAAACAAACAGATTTAAAAACAAGATAAAAAATTGTAAGGGTAGGTACTGAGATGTTTTTGGAGGTTGAGTGGCTCAAGGACCAGGTCAACGCGAAAACAGTCTTAAAATTATGGTGATTCGGGGAAGGTGTGAGGAATGAGAATGACATAGACGATGAGTCTGAACTTTGGTTGACATAGAAAGCATTGGTGTAACTTGGGGACCAACGTTTTGCGTATATTAGGCTACGGTATCGTAGAATAAAACTGTTAGGTAGTGTATCGCCACATTAACGCACAATAGTAGAGTTTACGGCCGTAGCCCCACGTACTGGCGTATCGTAACGTACTAGCATCGCGTTAAGTATCGTACTGGCATAGCGTACCGTGGCGTACTAGCACAGGATACGGAAGGCACTAGCGCCACTTAACGTACGAACCTTTCGATGTATCGACGTCGCGCAACGTAGCGTGCGAGCATCGCATCGCGTAACGTATCATACTAATTTCGCGTAACAGTCGTATTGGCATGGCGTACCCTAGCGTACTAGCGACGCGTCACGTAACGTACCAACGCCGCGTAACCCAGCGTACTAACACCACGTAACGCATCGCGCTGACCTAGCGTAGTGCAACGTAGCCTCCTACCAGCAATAGCGTACTTTAAATCTTAGAAACCTTGAATTTGCAATTTTTGGAGAATTTAGGCGTAATTACGAGTTAGTTAGTAAATTACGAACGAGAATCTAACTTCTTCAAAAAATTTAAAGTTCTACAAAACGTTCCCACCTGGCCCTCCTAATCGTAGGAAGAAAAAGTACAGTAACCGACGCGGTAGCGATGATGTAGATGGAATTGATGACGAATCGAGCTGGAAGAATTAAATTAAAATATTAATTATTATATTTTAAGAATTTTTGGTAGATTTAATTAATGAAAAACAAGGTTTTCATTAGTATTTGGCCATATTTAAGGATCTAAGATACCTTACAACCTTACAAATCAACAAGTATAGGTTTTTTAGCCTACCCAACAGTGGCATATGCTGCGTTTTGGGCATCTCCTCGGCGACGATCTCGAGCTCGACGGCCATCGCCATCAGGGTGGTGAGGCCGAGGATCATCTGGCGAAGATTATCTTGTGTTTAAAGGGAGCTTGACAGAGAGCGAGAGAGAGAGAGAGAGAGTGAAATAGAGAGAAAACTGACCTTGTTCAAACAGTCGCCCGTCTTGTCAACGAACATGCCGAACGTGCAGAGGATGTTGAGCAGGAAGACTGGCCAGATGATGATGAACATGAAGAAGGAGGAGTGGCGGTAGAACGTGAATTCGATATTTACCTGCAAAAAGTTAGGATTTTTGACTGCATCTCTCTCGCTATCTGTCTCTCTATGTCTCCCTCTCTCTCTCTCTCTCTCTCTCGCTGCTTGTCTATGTCTTCCTCTATCTCACCATCACTCTGTCTCTCTCGGTCTCTCTCTCTCTCTTCTAATAAACTAACATATTCATATTTGAAGATAGTATTATTCGCTTTCATCCTCTCTGCTTTCGGCTTGTCCACATCCCATTCACTATTCCCGTGCCAGCCGTACGTCTGCAAAACGTATAAAGCCTAGCTTAAACCTTTTAAGACGCTCTTAATCAATTCTTAATTTCACTAAAAAATTCAAAAAATTCGAAACCAACGGTGCCCTAAAAATTACGGTACGACGGCTAACCTACAGTATCCGCACGGTTCATTGGGCGCTAGAATTTTGTCTATTTTCTCAAAACTAGAGACTTTAAAAGTGGATATTCAGGATTGAATCGGCGCAAAAGAGCGTAATGGAATACGGTACATCGGACTGCTTGTGCTCGTTGAACTGGGGGATGTTGATCTGGTAGGAGATCTCCTTGGCCGCGTAGATGTACGTGCCGAGGGCGACGGCACAGTACTGGATGTCGAACGGGAATTCGGACATCTGGAAATGAGAGTAGGTTGGCTAGAGAGAGAGAGAGAGAGAGAGAGAGAGAGAGAGAGAGAGAGAGAGAGAGAGAGAGAGAGCGCGAGAGCGCGGGGGAGGAAGAGAGAGAGAAAGAGAGAGTGGTAGAAGTCTTCGTAAAACACCCACATTCAAATTACAGCTCGTCCGCACCAGATGCATCATTGGCAGACTCGCCTCACCGTGGGAATCTACCTTAAAAATAAAAACTAAAAATTAAAAACAGCTTTTAGACTCGCTGAATGTCTTCAGAAATCGATGACGTCATTAAAAATTCATTAAAAAATCGAAATACCTACCCGCACATAGCGCGAATCCTCGGGGATCAGATTGATAGCCTGGGCTCTGTAAAAATCGCATAAAAAGTTAAAATTAATACGCACGCCTGATCGTAGTATACAAAATCGGGGGTCCAGATTCGGTGCTCGGGCAAAACGATATTTTCGATGCCCGAGAAATTGGCGGGGTTCCAGCGGAGGCGCAGGTCGTGCCATCTCTAAGATAAATTACTGCTCCTGTTCTCTCTCTCTCTCTCTCTCTCTCTCTCTCTCTCTCTCTCTCTCTCGCTCTCTGTCTCTTTCCCGCTCTTTAGCTCGCTCTCTGTCCATCTCTGTCCCTCTCGCTCTGGGTATACCTGTCTCTCACCATTTCTCTCAATATTCCTCTCTCATCTCTCATCTCTCTCTCCTCCCTCTTTGGGTCTCTCTCTCCGTCTCTATCTCTCGCTCTGTCTTCCTTTCTCCTTCCAGCTCTTTCTCTCTCTCCCCCTCTCTCTCCCTCTCTTCCATCACTGACCACTTCCAGCTCGATGATCAACGACAGCAACTCGGATGCCTCACTCTAAAATTCAAATATTTTTGAGCGTTTTAACTTAAACCCACGATATCCATTAATTTTGTGTTGATCAAATTGATATATATTCGGAATGGGGGAATCCGGAAGGTGGGATGGTTGTGATCTGGAAAAGGCACCATTAATGCGTATTTCTAGAGTCGGGTATCTAGCGGTCACCATCCCTTTAAAACCGGCCTCCCAGATAAATCGGAGATAATGAGGGATGATAATGATGTAGTAGATGATGATATAGTCGATTGTTGTCATCGTAGAACCCGAAGAGTAGACCTTCGATTTCTAAGGATCAGTTTTCGAAGTTGGAGCTCACAAGGAGATGGTCTCAGCTCGACACCGAATTTCGATTTGAAAATTTGCACACTGGTAAAGCTCGACGAGACGAATCGATTGGTGTAACTTTCAGCTGCCCATACGATAAAATAGCCGAGTTATAAGCATTTTAAGTTTTTGCATACATTTTGCAGTTGTTCCGCCCTACCTTCATAAGCCCTCCCCCTTCCCCCATCACCGTGACCTGGTGGCCTAGTGGCGTAGTCGGTGGCGTATGGGGAAGCTATTGAAGGTTCGAACCCGCTCACGATTTTTAATTTTTGCTTTTTGGCACAAATGCTGCCATTGGCGTTCTGAAGGCCTAGAATCCTTTCGCATTCCTTATTTTAACTCTTTCAAGGCGCAGTGACCACATTACCTCATCATCAAAAATTTCCGAACTTAACATTGTACCTATGAACAGCATATGAACAACATTTTCAAAAAAAAATTGCGTCAATGAAAAATGCTTGCTGACACACAACGCATGCACCGTAAATTATATTTATTCTTAACTTTTTGTCCTATTTTTAATTTTTAATTTTATTGCTGGGACAGTCAATGCCCATTGGGGTCAAAAATCCAATTTCTGAAAAAAAGTTGTTTTATGGTCACTGCGCCTTGAAAGAGTTAAAATAAGGAATGCGAAAGGATTCTAGGCCTTCAGAACGCCAATGGCAGCATTTGTGCCAAAAAGCAAAAATTAAAAATCGTGAGCGGGTTCGAACCTTCAATAGCTTCCCCATACGCCACCGACTACGCCACTAGGCCACCAGGTCACGGTGATGGGGGAAGGGGGAGGGCTTATGAAGGTAGGGCGGAAAAACTGCAAAATGTATGCAAAAACTTAAAATGCTTATAACTCGGCTATTTTATCGTATGGGCAGCTGAAAGTTACACCAATCGATTCGTCTCGTCGAGCTTTACCAGTGTGCAAATTTTCAAATCGAAATTCGGTGTCGAGCTGAGACCATCTCCTTGTCAGCTAACCTTCAGGTGTCCCTTCTCGAATCTTGGTTTTTGAATGATTTTTCGTGAAGATTGAGGGCAGAAAAGCTAGGAAGAAAATCAGAATTCCAGTTGCGTATTCTTGGCTGAAGCATCTCATCGGAAGAGGCAGCGCCTGAAGCTCTAAAGGGATGGTGACAGGTTGAAAAGAGAGAGAGAGAGAGAGAGAGAGAGAGAGAGAGAGAGAGAGAAAGAGAGAGAGAGCGAGAAAGAGAGAGCGAGAGAAAGAGAGAGAGCGAGCGAAAGAGAGAGAGAGAGCGAGAGAGAGAGCGAGAGAGAGAGCGAGAGAGGGCGAATAAAGGATGAAAACGAGAGATGAGAGAGTGTAGGAGCACGATAAAGAGTCGGAAGGTGTAGGAGAGCGAGTGAGCTAATCACGGAGAGAGAGAGAGCGAGAGTTAATGTGAGTCAATGAGAGTGAGAAAGAGTCCGAGCGGGAGAGAGAGAGAGTGAGAGCGAGAGCGAAAGTGAACGAGTGAGAGTGGGAGCAAGAGAGATAGGCAGAACCCGTTGTTGGATGTGAGGGGCTGGCATGGATAGCTGCCCCGAGAGAGGCATTCCGCGTGCATCGGTAGCTCAATAGGGAGAGCATCGGACTCGAAAGCCGTAGGATGCGGGTTCGACCCCCGCCCGGAGCACTTGTTTTGCGGATTGGACCCGGAGCTAGTCCATGACCATGGGACCCCAGAATTCCCCACTCCGTAATCAATTGACCGGTAACCGTAATCATGCATTTTAAAAACTAGTTTTCTAAAGCAAAAAAAACTTGTTTTAAATGATGAAAATTGGAACACATTTGAGAACGACCTTTTCAATTTGGCGGCACATCCGAAAGCCCAATTTCTGATGGCCCAGCGTTGCCCCCCCGGGCTCTTCCAATATGGAAATGGAGCCACGAAATTTGCTCGAAGCGATTAGGCCATGGAAATAGAGCGAAAAAGAAGGCCGCACCCGAATTTTATGGGCTCGAATTTCGAATCCAAATTTAAGTAAAAAACACAGAAAGCTTAAAAGACTTTAGTAAAAACCCAGAAAAACGCTGGAAAATTCCAAATTATTTTCAAGCCTATAAAAGCTCGTTTAACTAGTTTTTAAAAAACGGGAAAACAAAGAAAAAATAACATTTTACGGCCAGAAGCTGTGAATAAATAGAAAAATAGGCTATGGCCTGAGATTGCCCTCGATCAAGCCCGTCAAGTGGGACCTCAAATAAGAGGGGTGATAAATGACGGCTAGGGGTTTTGAGGAACAGACGCCAATTGTTCCTTTCTCTCGCTCTCTCTCGCTCTCTCCCTCTTTCTCTCTCTCTCTTTCTCTCTCTCTCCATTCAAGAGGCCAACTGACTTGACATATTTTTTTATTTTCAATGACTAAGGATAGGGGGCCAATGGGGGAGAGGTAAAGTACGAAACGATACTATAGTACTAATAAGTAACACAGTATCATCCCGTATCCTTCGCGTTATAGTGTGCGGTTCCATTCCGCACCTATTTACCAGCGGCTACTTGGCGCCCAGCCAAACGTACCTAATTTGTGTCCCGCTGGTGCACTACTTTCGGGTCGATTTTTGGGCGGTGCTCAAAACGATATTTTGGTATTGGCTATTTTAGCAACAGCAACAAGGGCAAACGCCAGAATCCCGACAACCGTAATCTCACGCGCAGAATAGCTCTTTAAAAGGAAGGGACAAGAATACGTCCGGATTTTTGGTGTCGGGATTTTGTTTGTCCAGATTTTTTGTCGGAATTTTGCCATAGGGATTTTGATTCTCGAGATTTTCGTTGTCGGTATTTCGGTTGTCACTCACTCATTAGCCTGTCGGAATTTTCGCCAGTTGGGATTATAACCCAACAGTTTGTTAGATGTCGCTAACGGATTTTGGGTTGTCGGTATTTTGACGGTCGGCATTTTTGCTTACCAGACATAGTGGTATTCACGAAAAAAAACACTGAAAAAGTGACAAAATCGTCTTTTGTAACGCTCGGTTTCCGGGCTTCGAATTTTAAGCCTTTTATTGTTTTTACTTTTAGGGTTGTAGATGTAAAATGTGATTTCTATGTACAGGTCCTGTAACATTAATAAATTTATTATTTTTCATTATTGCAGCACCATAACCACCAGTGGACATTTGAACACTAAAGGGGGCGAGTAGGCACAACCAAAACTGGCAATTTACCAAATCTTCATCGGAAATTCAGAAATTTGCCTTCCCAACCCCTTCAAACACGCATCAAAACACCCGTATGACAAAAATACATAATCAGTTCATATTAGAAAAAAATGCAAAATTCACAGCTCGCTAGGGCCACCATCCTTTGGCAGACTGCCATTGCGATGTTCAGCGCCGGTAGGAGAGGCTTCTAAAGAAAAATACTTTGAATTTTGGTTGAATTACGATGATTTTGAATAGCTCACTCAATAAACATTTAAAACAGATCGTTTTAAAGTTGCAAAATTTGAAATAAAGCGTTGTATTTTTCTTACTGATCAATCGATGCTTCTCGCCCGTTTCAGGTGTTTTATTGGGTGGGTAGAAGATTTCGCGGACGCGGGTACGAAATTCTAAAATATTCACGAATTAAAGGGACAAGTCGTAGCGACGCTCGCTCTCTTTCGCTCTGTCTCTGTTTTTCTCTCCCTCTCTCCCTCTCTCGGTATCTCTCTCGCACATGCTATCACCCTCTCTCTTTCGCTATCTCTTCCTCTGGTTCTCTCTCTCTCGCTGTCTCTTTCGCCCTCGCTGTCGCTCTCTCTTTCGCTCTCTCTTCCTCTCTTCATCTCTCTCTCTCTCTCTCTCTCTCTCTCTCTCTCTCTCTCTCTCTCTCGCATTCTCTTGAATGAACAAACCGGAATTCAGCGCCAAATACACGAAGAAATGAATCCCAGAATTGACCGTTTGGGCCCAGTAGGCCGGCTTCGAGATCGAGTTTGACAACTGAAAAAATAGACGTTTAGGCCAGGCCTTGCGCCGCCTGAACGTGTCCGCCGTCTCGAAAAATAAAAAAAATAAAAAGGCTCCTCAACGCGCCCACAACGCATTAACAATGACTGCCGAGCCCCAATTAAAAGCGTACCTCCTTGACGTAGACTTGGAACAGATGGATGGCATTCGGGAGTGAGACCAACGCTGTCGAGACGATCGAGATGATGAAGTAATTTTTGATGAGGCCAAGCTGGCGTTGCATTCGGGTTCTGGAAAACCGTGGTCTGTCTCACTCTGTCTCTCTCTGTCTCTCTCTCTATCTCTTTCTGTCTCTCGCTGCCTCTATCTCTCTCTCCCTCTTTCTCTAGCTCTCCTTCACACCAAAAATTTTTTTGCAAAACTGACTGTGTCTTCACCATCCGCCTCGCTTTCACATAAGCAGCCAAACTGAAAATGGCCGCCAGCACGTTGCACACGATGTTGTGCGTGTAGATGAACGCGCCGAACTCGTCGCCGAATGCGGCTTTACGCCCGCAGTAGTACATCGCGGAGTCGTGCTCGTGCTCCTGGAGAAAGCGAATATTTTGATCTCTCTCACTTACCTTATAGGCAGCAATGAGAAAAGCAGCTCCCATCGATATCGTCACAAAAGTCAGACATGTTCCGCAGGATACGATAATTCTAAGATTAAATTTTAGGGTTTTCAGGATTTGTTATAGATTTTAACTTTGGTGAGGGGCCTTAATTAGCTAGGGAGACAAAGAGAGAAATAGAGAGAGAGAGAGAGAGAGAGAGAGAGAGAGACAGCAAGAATGTGAGCGAAAGAGAGAGAGAGGCACAGAGAGAGTGAGAGAGAAAGAGAGAGAGAAATAGAGAGAGATAAAGAGAGAGAGTGAGTGAGAGAGAAAGAGAGCGAGAGAAATAGTGAGAGAGAAAGAGAGAAAGAGAGAGAGAGAGAGAGACCGATAGATGGAATAAATTTCAAGGCCCCTCACCAACGATTTTTCACGTTAATGCATAACCAAAAAATTCACAAGAAATTGACAGTAATTTAGGGGTAAATGGGGGACAGTTCGAAATCTTAGAAGCCGGTGAATTAACCAAAAATTCAGCGTGCGCCACACCAAACCAAAAATATGCCACTGATAGCCACGGCCACAGAACCTGGGTGGAAACGGGAGCGCTCCGTGGGGGCTAAAGGGAATGGGTGACGGAGTGATATTGTTAGTTTTCAGGGTTAGTTTTTCTACTTCCAACTACGGTACCCGGGTCAATGGGTAGCATTTGGGTACTGTATTTTCTGCAGTATTTGTTCTTCAAAATTGAATTTTGAATTCGTTGAGTTTTAAACCTACATAATCGTATTTTCTTTTTTCACCTATTTCCATTTGAACAGTTTTTTTGTTTTTGTATTTTTCGTGATTTTTGACTTTGCGGCCAAAATACAGTACCCTAAATGCCGCCACGATTCCCAAATGCAAAAGTGAAAACGGGAGATGTGGAAAACCTACTTGAGAGGCCGGCCGTCCAGGTGTTGATGGTAGAAAATGGGGCACAAAATAGCCAGCAGCCGTTCGACACCCATGCACAGGGTGGTGATCGGGAGGAGGAGGTCCCCTGAAATCGTCTCTGCTAGCTGTCACGGCCCCTTTAAAGTTGAAAAACAGAGATTTTAGCCTGTAGATTTTGGCTTCATCGGCTCTTTAAAGCTTGGATCGTTTACTATCACCCTTGCTCACTCTCTCACCCTCTCTCTCTCTGGCTCTCATCCGCTCTCTGCGCTCCTTCTCTCTCGCTCTCTCTCGCTCTCTCTCTCTCTCTCGCTCTCTCTCTCTCGCACTCTCTCTCGCACTCTCTCGCTCTCTCGCTCTCTCTCGCTCGCGCTAGTCCTCCTCTTTCAGAATATATATCCAGCTCATGCTCTTTCTCTCTCGCTCTTGCTCATATTTTCACTGACCAGCGACACCAGCTTTTCCTGCCAAAAACACCTACCTATCAGCTTCATGATCAACCACGTCTCAACCGCACATTCCCAAGGTGTTCGCACGGGCAGTGTATACGTTTCGAGGGCTGTCGCGTACAAATATACACGATTCAGGCCGGTGAGGATGATGGCAAGCCCGTTTATCGTGTCACCCACGGCAAGGAGTATCAATAACTGAAAAAAAATTTGGACGTTGAAGCCAACTTGACTCCGTCTCTCAGAGAAATTGAACCCTACCATACCTGATATTTCCGTCTAAATGGCGGATATCCAAGAAATACGCCAAGCAGTGCAAAATTGATAGTCATACAAACGGCTCCAAGTGACGAGTTGACAATGTGGTATTGGACGAGACGGTCGAACCCCTCGACCGCCGATTCGTTGACCGGGACGCTGTGGGTGAACATTGAGGAGTAAGGCATCTGAAGGAAAGGTGTCGAGAGAGAGCGAGAGATAGAGAGACGGAGAGAGAGAGAGCGAGAGAGACAGTGAAAGAGAGAGAGGGGGGAAGTGACAGTGAGAGTGAGCGAGAGTGAATGCTTGAGTGAGAGTGAGAGAGGGAGAGTGAGGCAGATATCGCTACAATACCCAAATCAAAATGATCACCGTGATACATGAAAATGATACCAGACTATTTTCCAAAAAATACCTAGATCCCAGCCAGAGCGTTTTGTGCTGGAGCACGAGCGTTTTATAGGGTGTTTAGCCCGAGTATTCCGCCCGTTTCGCGCCACATGTGCTACTGGTTATAGCGGAGAAAAAAGTTGCACGACAAATTTTTAAGGGAGAAAAGAGGATATAAAAACGTTTTTTGCCGCGTTGTGAACCTCACTATTATCTTCACGCTGCCCATCTTTCGCCCGTTCTCGATCTCTCGCTCAATCTCACTCTCGCGCTCAAATTCTCTCTTCCCATTCTCTCGCTCTCGCTATCTCACTCTCTCTCACTCTCTCTATCTCGACTCTCTCTCCCTCTCTCTCTCTCTCTCTCTCTCTCTCTCTCTCTCTCTCTGTTCCCGCTCTATGACACTTTCGCTGTCTAGATTAGCCGCGTGTTAGGCAAAAATAGACTCGAAAAGTAAAAACTGATAATTTCCAGGCTTTCAAATCGCGATATTATATACCCAGACAGAAAGGTCACCCCGTTGAGTCATGACGAGTAAAAACTAGCGCACGAGAGAGCGAAAAATGATCGGCCCCGTTTGTGTCGGCTTTACAACTTTTCGAACGAGGTGTTGTGTTCGTAGGGTAGCAATGGAAATCGATATGCCATAGTTGGCACGGGGCGGGGCCCTTTTTTGGAGGAGAAATATTATATTCTCAAAAACACTCCAGCCGCTTGGCGCGCCATATCTTGGATTTCTCGCACAGAGAAGCTTGAAATTAAAGGGGCTGGGACGGCTTGGCTTAAATTTTTTAGAAAATTTTTAGAGTCAGAAAAACACGTTCTTTTTCTTCAGAATTAGAATATTAAAATCTACTAATTTTTGTAATCAGTATCGTTTTAAAATCAAACATTTCTAAATTTTAGGCCTTAAACGGGTTGTAATTCATCGTAAAGGAGGGTTTAAAAATATAATAAATGTAATTATATCAAATTTAAAGGGGCTGAGACGGCAGAAGAAAATCGCAAAAAAATTTTTGGTAAATTTTTATGGAAATTCGAATTTTTGGAAGCTTTCCATATTCTTACAAGGAGTGCTTTTTTTTGAGTCATCGGCAAAACTTTACGAGATGTAGCTCATTCAATAGAATTCGATTCTGAACAAAACCCCGTTGTTCTTTTTTGCAGAATGGCTATCCCTGATTTTATAAAATTTTAAAACTGCACCCAAAAGCCTCTCTTTTGGCTCGAAAGGCACTCATGGTAAGAAACGGTCACTAGTATTTTAATTTTATAAAATCAGGGTTAGCCATTCTGCAAAAAAGAACAACGGGGTTTTGTTTAGAATCGAATTCTCTATCGAATGAGCTAGGTCTCGTAAGGTTTTGCCGATGACTCAAAAAAAGCACTCCTTGTTAGTTGGCTTTCCAAAGCCTTTAAAGCCCCAGAAAGATCCGAAAGTCAGACATTTCCGAAACGCTCCCAAATGACGCTCGACGCTTCGAGCACCCCAAAATTGCGACCAATAAATTATTTAGAAAACTCTTTAAATCCGATACCTCCGCGAATTTCTCAGAATCCCAAGAATTCCAGCCAGACGAAAAAACGAAGGAGGAAATGGATAGGATGAGGTGGAGGACCCAATCCAAAACCCACCCGGCCGTAGGAACCAAAAAAGAGACTGGGCCCTGAAATGATATCAGGGCGGGGGAGGGCTCGGGTTTCCATCAAAAAGAGAAAGAAAGAAAGGAAAAGAAAGAGATAAAGGGATGGGTGAAGAACACTTGAGGGTTTGGCCCTTCACTAACACTCAGCAGTTTTTCGCTATCTCTCTCTCTCTCTCTCTCTCTCTCTCTCTCGCCTCAAGGGTTGTTCTCAGTTTGGAAGGGTCCCGCTTGGAAGGGGGCATTGTGTTACGGTCAGCTGGGAAACTTGAGATGATAGTAGGGAACGGTGACTCAGCTTGAGACCACAGAGTCATGTCGTCCTCTGAACTCCCATTAGTGCGCCGGTTCGATCTGGGACATATCATTAATGCCACTCGGTGGAGATGGGATAAAATGTCCACACGAGACAGAGAGAGAGAGAGAGAGAGAGAGAGAGAGAGAGAGAGTGATAGAGAGGAGAGAGACAGAGAGAGCGAGAGAAAGTGAGAGACACAGAGAGAGAGAGAGAGAGAGAGAGAGAGAGAGAGAGTGACATAGACCCCAGGAGACACAGAGACAATTTTGCTACGCTAATTTTACGCAGATCTCTTCAATTTTTCATTGTGCTGATCCCAAAAAGCGCGCATTTCCAAGATTCAACCAAGCCGTACGAAAAGCATTAATTAGCGTATTTCGCAAAAAGGAAAGAAGAGAAGAAGTGTAAGAATTTTATAAAGTCGAATTCCAGACTCTACACCCCCTGAAACACCGATAAAATCTGGGAGCCATTGGTGGCAGCCCACCCAAAATCGCGTTACACTTTATGTTTGCGCAGGGTGGCGCAGCGTAGTGGAATTTTTTGCGCAGCAGAGGTCGGCGGGAGGAACGGAATAAGCCGGAAAATAAAGTTTGGATCATTTGGGGGTTGGCGGAGGGGGCCCGGAAATTTGGGCAATTACTGCCCGGCCGGGTCGGCTGGATAGATGGGAGGAACGGCTGCTTTGGTGCTTGTGCATTATCGGGGGGCAGCGTTTTTGAATAGGTACCGATTTTTCGAAGATAATTAAGGGTAAGATTTCTAAACAATTTTTGAAGCGCAAAATTTCGGCCAAATTTTATTAAAAAATATCCATTTTCCACCAAAAATGACCATCAAAAAAACGTTAAGTAACGAAAAACATAATTTTTCCGGAAGTGCATTTTACGCAATATTTTTCGTAATTCACTACGAAATATGGACGGCTACGTGGAAAATGCCGCCTTCAAAAACAAAGACGGCTGGCTGAATTCAGGGGCCACTAGGAGGGGTGGAGGTTCCCAGAATTGGGTATAAACCTGAATGGATGGCCCTTTCTTGCCGTCACTCTCCTTCACTCTCACTCACGCTCTCTGTCTCTCTCGCTCTCACTTGCCTTATTCCGCAATAATCCCCCGGACGACCCTCAGGACTCTGGAATATGGAAGGCGAAGCCCCTTTGTGCCACGATTCCCACTACCCCTTCGTAATTTATGATTCCTCAACTTAATGAGCCCACCCAGAAGGCCGGGTTTTTAAAGGGATTCTGAAGGCAAGGGGGAAGCAGAAAAAACTTGGACCTTTTCCGAATCAAAATTTAGGACAGGAGGATTTCATAGCGTACGAATATTGGGAAGCAGAGAGAGAGAGAGAGAGAGAGAGAGAGAGAGAGAGAGAGAGAGAGAGAGAGAGGGTAGAGAGTGAGAGTGAGAGAGAAAGGGAGAGAACAAGAGATGTAGAGAAAGAGCCCAAGAGCTACTGAGAGAGGCAGACAGAGAGAGAGTGAGAGAATGAGAGAATGCGAAAGTGAGAGAAAGACCGAGACCGAGCATGAGAAAGAGTGTGAGCGGGAGATAGGGAACGTGAGAGACAGAAAAACAGATAGAGAGGGTAGGAAAGAAGGTACGAGAGAGACATGAGAGAGAGAGAGCGAGCGAGTCTGAGAGAAAGCGACAAGATCAAAAAAAATGTGCCCTTCCTATAAAACTGAATAACAAGCATTTTAGGGTAACCAGTGGTAGAAAAACAAAGCCAACTTTTCCGGCTTATCCAGTTTAACCTGGGCCGGCGCAAAACCCCCTAAATCCTGACGCAACCCAAAAAATCTATTTCAGGCTCAATAATAACGTCCCCAACCTCGCCTAAGGCGGGGTGAAAAGCAATTTTGAGGCTTTTGGGGGTCCCTCATCGGCAGAGCTTTTTCTTGTGGGTGGGGACGGAGATGTGCAATTTGGGGGTGACTGGCGGGTTGTCGCCCTAGGTGCGTTTTGGGCGTCTCGTCGTGAAATATTCTGCCTCGTTTCAAGCACACTTCCCGTTTCCGGCGGCCGTCGCCCGGCTCAAGAGTCCCTTTTTTTGACGGACAGAAAATTTTTTAAGGGCATCACGCGTCTGCGTGGGTTCCCCTTGGAATATCGGAATTTTTGGAGAAATTTAAATTGAGACCGGTTCATAAATTGAAAAAAAGTTTAATTGAAAAATTAAAAATTATGGATATATCGGGCTTTTTTTTAACCCAACTTTTTTTAACGTTATTTTAATATAATCTAATAAAGTATGTTCAGTCTATTTTTAAGTCCCAACCCTAAAAAATTTACACAATCTTTAGTTGATTAAAAATATAAATTTTGAAATAACGATTTTCCACCATAATTGCTGCAGTGTTATCAAAATTCCGATTTCATGTTAATTAAATTTTTCCTTAAATATTTAAATTTATTGTTATTAATAAACTTAAAGTTGCTTAGAATTAATTTTTAATTTTGTTGGAGTTTTTAACCATAATTATACTTAAAAATTTTTACCGTTTTGAAATCCGTTGTAATTATACTGGGCATTTATCGACTTATACAAAAAAATCTGCAACTCTCTCGTTCTCTCTCTCCCTCTCTCTCTCTCTCTCAATCTCTCTCTCTCTCACTTCAATTCGAAAGAACCCAAAATTTATCCCCGGATTTTTCGAACTTTTGAAAAACGACAAACTAGAAGATCCTCGATCGAAATTTTAGGCAGAGTTTCCAGGAAATGAATTGGCAGAACCAGGAAAACCCCTGGAAGTACCCCCCTTCGATGGGCAATCAACCGAGGGAAGATTGGGCCAACGGAGAAGCGGAATGTCGGCAGCCAACAAAAAACGAGGGGAGCGCCATTTACGCTAGAGCATTCGACGGACGGGCGTTCCATCGAGGTGGCCCGGGAATTTGTGGATGAAGGGGATGGAAGATGGATTGCCTTGGAATTTGCAACAAATTGGTTGCAACTTTTTGCCGGATTAAAAGTTCTAGGTCGTCATAACAAAACTGAAAAAATAAAACAAAGAAATAGTGATTGTGAGAATAAAAGCAGGGGCGATAGTTACAGAGAGAGAGAGAGAGAGAGAGAGAGAGAGAGAGAGAGAGAGAGAGAGAGAGAGAGAGAGAGAGAGAGAGAGACAGAGAGAGAGCGAGCGAGAGAGAGAGAGACACAGAGAGAGAGTTAGAGAAAGAGATATACAGCGAAGAGAGAGCGAGCGGGAGAGAGAAAGAGAAAGAAAGATACAGCGAGGAGAGAGAGAGCGAGCGAGAGAGAGAGCGCGAGAGAGTGAGAGGGAGCGAGAGAGAGAGAGCGCGAGAGAGAGGGAGGGAGGAAGGGACCTACGGGCCTCGCCATGCTCCTCGCCATTTAATCCGGATCAGGTTTCGCCTGACAAAACGATGATTCTCACCTTCGCATTCCGCCTAAAAATCCGATTCGCTGAGGGTTGGGGTCATTTTTCACCCTTCGTTTCTCTGTATGTCTGTTTATCTGGCTCTGCCTCTCTCACTCTCTCTCTCTCTCGTTCTCTGCACAATCACCGCTGAAGCCAAAACCCTAGGTAACAAACGGCTAGAGCTTCAAAAGCGTACCCCGCGGCTCCCCAAATTGGACAGGCCTAATAAAAAGCGGGGTCTGGCAGCTAAAGCTCCCCATTAGAGGAGATCCAGAAACCGTTCCTTTCTTTGCCCGGCAAATGGTTCTTCCTCATGTGCACTCTAAAGATGATGGGTGGGCGTGCCGAGGCTCCGGGCTTAATAACCCGGGGAGGATTTCTCCGATTTCACTTGAGCCTCAGCCCAAGCCCAGTCGAAGCCTAAGCCTAAGCCTAAGCCAAGCCTAAGCTCAAGCCAAAGCCCAAGCTAAGCCTACACTATGCGACTCCTTACGTTATTCTCCCTCTCACTAATGCCTGTACTCGCTACGTGCCGCTCCAAGTTCCGTTGGAGATTCGTGCTCCCGGTGCATGCGGAGAGCCGGCCGGATTTGGTGCGTTTTAAAGGAACTGTGAAGTGCTGTAAAATTGCCTACCTACCGTAATCTGACATGAAAAATCGGCTGCCGTATTTTGAAGGGGTCGAGAAATTAAAGTGTCCCCGGTTGCTACAGGTCCTAAGCCTCCTGAGCCTAAGCCTAACAAGCCTGTAAGCCTTACCCAAGTCTAAGTCTAACGATAGCCCGAGCTCAAGCCTAAGCTAGGCCTAAGCATATGCTAAGCCTAAGGCTAAGCCTAAATCTACGCCTAAGCCTAAGCTAAGCCTGAGCCTAAGTCTAAGCTAAGCCAGGCATAAGCCTAAGCCTAAGCCCAAAAATAAGCAACCTTGCTCGAAATTATGCAGTTATTTGCAGGATGAACGTCAAAATCCGGTGGCCGGTCTCGACTACTGTCCAATCCCAAAGAATGGCTCTTCAAATATGAAGCGAACGATGTGCCGCCTGTATTACGCGTATCACGGAACGAAGCCACCGAGAGGCTTCAAGGATTTGAAGTGAGGCTTTCAGGATGTTATACACAATTTTTGACACCTACTGACACCCAGTTATACCCGTAAAATCACGGTTTTAGCCGCTGCGACATCACTGAAAACTGGTTGACCCTGGTTGGAAAGCGGCCGACGTGGAAGGCGAATACTGTGAAAATTGTTGTGCTGAGGGATCCGTTGCGGCGGTTCGCTTCCGCTTACGAGTACCTGTGCAAGTGAGTTTTAAAGGGGGTGGGTCAGCAAGATGGCGGATCCTAGGGAACGAAAGCGCTGCGGGAGATCCGGGAAGACGATCCACACCTTTGCACGCATGGCTTATAAGTTGTTGGCCAAGGGGTGAGCTTGTGGAACTATAGAAAGCTAGGAGAGAGAGAGAGAGAGAGAGAGCAAGATAAAGCGAGTGAGAGAGAAAGAGAGTGTGAGAGAGCGTGAGAGACACAGAGAGAGATAGAGCGGAGAGAGAGAGGGAGGGAGAGAGAGTGCGAAAGAGAGCGAGAGAGCGCGAGAGAGAGACAGAGAGATACGATCTCCGAAACGATCAGAAACCCATTCTTCACGCTTCTCAGTCCCTTTAATCCCAATTTCCAGAAAATCAAAGCTCCCGAAAAACCCAGATACGATGCATCTGAGACGCCACGTCGCGCCCCAGTCATGGTAATCCAACATTTCTTCCGAAATTTTTACATTTTCCAGGTTTTGCCAGGGACCTCAACGGCTAGAAATCATGCTTGATGGTTAGTTTACATAGTATAAAGGTGGATATTGCCTGGAATGCATAGCCAACTTCTTAAAAGTGCTCTTAATGCCAAATTCAGATTCGAATCCCAACCATCTAGCCAAGGAGATGAGCGACGTTTTTGAGAGGACAAACGTTCCCGAAAGGGTGTCGAGGAAGGTAAGGGTGGATGAGCTTTTAAAGGAAGCGTGACAATAGAGCGATACATCGAGAGAGCGAGAGAGAGAGAGAGAGAGAGAGAGAGAGAGAGAGAGAGTCAGCAAGTCAACGTCCTTTTTAAAGAACAAAAACAGTAAAACCACGCTATTTCGTAGCTCCTCGCCAACCTTCGACGCGGCAAGCGCCAAGGCAAACTGAGCAGCAACGACGACCTGACTCAAGAAGTTCTGAGCAACACCAAGACGCTCTCCTTATTCCTCTACATGTACTACAACGACTACAAGACGTTTCAATTAACGCCCAGCACCCAGTTGCAGAAGGCCGTGGAGAATCGGCTGGGGAAGAAGGTGCTCGTGAACTTGCGGAGCAAGAATTTTTGAGGTTTTTGGATAAAGGTTATTTATGTTTGGACTTATTTAATCACAGAGCGAGAGAGAGCTAAGGAAAGAGGGAGAGAGAGATAGAGAGAGAGAGAGGTAAAGAGAGAGAGAGAGAGAGAGAGAGAGAGAGAGAGTTCACTTCCTGTTTTGCCCCCCTTGATCGCTATCAGCTTTGACCCTGAAGCCCCTGATACGAGAACTGACCAGTGCCACTGTCCGAAAAATAAGCATTTCTTCGGCTAATACCGTCTATAATCCCGCTTTTTAGGAATATCGTATTTATTTTAAGCCAGGTAATCGGTTACGCAGTGAAATTATTTTTTTACCGATACCGTACATCCTAATTTAATCCTTAATCCATTGACGATGGAAATTATGCTTTTTACCTATTTTACCAGCCCTTAATTTGGTGTATATCGTAGTGATCGGTGGCCGGATCGGCCTCACTGTTGTTTTCTTTCGATCCAAGGCCACATACACAACTGTTGGTGCGGAGATAGAGCGAAAGAGAGAAAGAGAGAGGGAGAGAGAGATAGAGAGAGAGAGACGTGGATGGCGTAAACAACCTACGAGAATCGACCTGCCTAATTTTTCTCTGCTTTTTACTTACATTTAAAATGGCTTAAACTTAAGTTTAAAAGCTGCTAAATTATTTCTCGGAGTGTTGAGATAATAAGGTATTAAATTTAAATTTTTAAACCCAAAAATTTCAAAAGCGACAGAAAACAAACTTTATCTTAAATATCTTTTGACTTAAAAGGCTTGCAACTTTTTAGCGCTATTTTTTAAGCAAACGCTACAGTAATAAATGTTGGGTTTCTGTGGGTTGTTTTTGGAAGTTTCGAGTCAGAAAGTTTTTCTTTTTTTGTATATTTTTATGTAAAAGATATTTACTTAATTTTTGCTTGATTTTTCTCTATATTTTTATATATCTTATTGTATGCAAATATTTCTATACCTTTTGAAAGATTTGCTGCAGCCATAATGGTTTTTTCAGATTTTTTTGGCCAATCAAGGTGAAGATTTTGACTTCACAAGCCCTTAAATCGCGAATGTTGCCCCGATTGGCGGCTCGTGCTCTGCTCCTCCAACGATCATCATCAACCTCGAAGCTCCTCCGAATTATCTCCAGCCGCAACGCATCCAGCCGCCCCGAGGTACCCTCGATTTTCATGGCGTCACCGAATGCCTTGATAGGGATACAGGGGCGCGGGCTGCAAAACCAGTCGCGCGCTGTTGTCCACTTTTTTGGAAAAAAAGCGCTGTAATTTGCCCCAGTAGTTATAGATGTTTCAGAAGATATTTCAATACATTTTTATCTCTAAAAAACTTAATAAAAACCCCCATATTAAACATTATGAATTAAAAAATTAGAAATAATACATTTAGCTATTGTTTAGGGTTGTAAAGTCGTCAATAAGGCTTATTTTTAGTCAATAAAGAGCGCTGTAATTTACTTTAACGATTTTTAGGTATTTTAGAAGAGCTTTCGCTATATTTTTCATCCTGAAAACAACTAATAAAAACGGAAAAATGTGGATAATTCGAAAAATAATGAATTTATTGATTTTTTAGGGTTGTAAAGTTGTAGCTAAAATTTATTTTATGTGAATAATATGCATATAGTTTTTATACACATCTAAAACAAATTTTCCTGGGTCTAAATGGCTTATTTGCATCAGAATTTCCGAGATTTCAAGCAAAAATAGCGTCTGAAATTGGGAAAAATAATTTTTAGCTGTTTAAAAATCCGAATTTTCGTCATAAATTTGCATAAATCGCTTAAAAACATTTAAGCGATAATCTACGAGTTTAATCAGCTGATTATAGTCATAAATTATGAAAACCAGCCCAAAACTAAATTTTTAGGAATGTGAAAAACCAGTCTAAAACTGCGAACAGATAGTGGCATTTCGATTTTCTGGCTTATTTATTGCTTCTTTTGCAAAATTTTTTTATCTATAAACTACAATTTCAGATGTCGCCCCCAGTGCCGAAATGCCTTCTCGAGCCGATGGACATCCCGAAACGCGAGCTTTTCGGCCCCGGCCCCTCCAATATGGGCTCGAACATCCAGGAGTCGGCCTCACGCTCCCTCCTCGGTCATCTGCATCCCGAATTTGTTAAGGTAGCGTTATTTTAAAAATCGTTGGACTCTTGAAAAGCGATCAACAAAAATGCCGACATTTAAAAATACCGAACTTTGAAAGTCGTAGTTTGTAGCAAAAATGCCGGCACGTAAACTCTAAATACTGACGGCATTTGTTGTAATTTAGCCTTTTGGAGCGTCGGCATTTGGCCTGTCGGCATTTTAGTTGATTGGTCTGGGCTTTGGGTTGTCGGTATTTTTGACTACTTAAATTTGGGCTTATCGGCATTGGAGATGTCGGCATTTCCTTCGTTGGGTTTTTCAGAAGCGGCTTTTCCGCTTTCAGCTTTCGGGTTTTGCGGCATTTTGGCTTCTGACGGTTTTTGCGTTTTATTTGCGCATTAAGGTTGTCGGCATTTCGTCTGTCGGCATTTCAGCCATAGTAGCTTGGCGGTGTTTTTGCTGTCGGCATTTGTCTCTCTCGTTTCGATTGTCGGCTTTTTCGTGTGTTGGTATTTTAATCGTCGACACTTTAGAGTCGATATTTCACCCCAAAAACCGCCCGAAATGCTCATTCAGATCATGGCCGACGCACGCGAGGGCCTGAAATACATCTTCAAAACGGAAAACGCCTACACGTTCGCGATTTCTGGGACAGGTAGGTATTTTAAGGATCATTATAACCTAAAAATGCGTTAAAACATCTTGTTAAAATTCTTAAAGGGCTTAAAAATCACCTTTTTAAGGTCATTCCGGCATGGAGGCGGCGATGCTAAATCTGCTGGAGCGCGGCGAGAAGATTCTAGCCGTCAAAACGGGCCTCTGGGGGCAGAGATGCGCCAATCTGGCTAAACGGCTGGAACTCGAGGTGGCCGTTGGCATACGGTATCTAGGACATGGTTTAGGTGGAAACGGTCGAAGCGCCTGACGGGAATGCGGTTGAATTGTCGGCGATTAAAGAGGTATTTTTAATGATTTTGTCTCACAATTCGTTCAAAATCTTTATCAAAAAGGTTATCATTAATGGGTAGATATAAGTGTGTATTTTTAGGCCATCGAAAAATTCAAGCCACAAGTGCTGTTCGTGTGCCAGGGCGAGAGCTCGACTGGAGTTTGCCAGCCGATTGAGGGTCTCGGCGAGATTTGCCATAAAAATGTGAGTTCAAGAAAGAGAGAAGGACAGAGAGAGAGAGAGAAAGAGAGAGAGAGTGAGAGACAGACAGAGAGAGAGAGAGAGAGAGAGAGAGAGAAATATTTTCAGGATTGCCTCCTCCTCGTCGATACCGTAGCTTCATTGGGCGGCACCGAATTCGATATGGATGGATGGGGAGTAGATTGTGTTTATACGGCCACCCAAAAGGTATCATTTTCTTGCAGGCACCGTCCCTTTAATGAAAAAAACACCGGCTTCAACGTCCAAATTTTAGGTGTTGAACGCTTCTCCGGGTTTGGCACCGATATCATTCTCGGATCGGGCAATGTAAGTAGAGGGGCGAGTGGAGAGAGAGAGAGAGAGAGAGAGAGAGAGAGAGAGAGAGAAAACCAGTCACCCCTTTCAGGCAAAAAATCAAATCCCGAAAGCGCCCGGTCGCCTCATGGTATTTTGATGCGCTCGAGTTGGGCAACTACTGGGGTGCTGACGCGGGCCCGAAACGGTAAATCGGCAAAAAAAATTAATTTATGGCTCTAGAAAAGCACAAATCAAGCGCTTGGTAGTTAGCCAGTACCTTTTATATCGAGCTTTCAAGCTAAATTTTCCTTTTTTAAGCTACCATCACACTGCCCCGATCTCAACGGTCTACACGTTGCGCACAGCGCTAGCCGAAGTAGTAAAAGAAGGAATTGACGCCGAGATCGCGCGACACCGCAAGAATGCCGAATTTTTGTACTCGGAGCTCGCCGCCGTCGGGTTGGAGCCGTTCGTCGAGAAGAAGGTAACACTGCTCGTTCTGAGTTAGAGATATGTCAGAGGGAGAGAGAGAGAGAGAGAGAGAGAGAGAGAGAGAGGGAGAGAGAATTTCAGGAATGGCGTCTCCCCTGTCTAACCACGGTTCGTGTACCCGCCGGCGTCAGCGGAGATGAGGTGAAAAAGGAGATGATGGCCCACGGCATCGAGGTTGGCTAAAAATAAAAAAAGGTTTTTAGCCATAATTTCATGTCGCAAAGTATTTTGAAGCCAATTGTGATGTAATTAAAAATTTCAAAACTATATTTTTTTCGCGAATTTAACATCTTTTTGGCTGTAATAAAGTTGCTAAATGAAAGTGCGCATATTTCTAAGGTTCGAAACATTTAAATAAAAGTCTTTCAGCTCAAACAATTTATTTTAGATTGCCGACGGTCTCGGGTCTACGGTAGGAAAAATCTGGCGCATCGGCACGTTCGGGATCAATTCTGATGAGCAGAAAATCCGGCACGTCGTCCAAAAACTGGCCGAGACGATCAAGGCCAAGAAGGCGCATCTTTAACTGGGGTATTACAACCTATTTTTCATTTTTTTGTCAAATGTTCCTGTCACCATCCCTTTAAAATCTTTCCTATTTATTAATTCCTTCGCATTCCTGTGATTTTAAATAGTTTTTATCAATTATTAATACATTTATTTTCAAATAACGTATACAGCATGAGATCACAAAAGTGGCCGTAAATGGCTAGGGTAACGACGCGGAATATTGAGCTAAATGAGGAGGAAAAGCTTGTTCATTTTTGGGAGTATCCGATGGGGATTTGTCAGTGGTGAGAAAGAGAGAGAGGGAGAAAGAGAGAGAGTGAGAGAGAAGCGAGAGAGAGCAGGGAAATGACTAGAGCAAAAAGATAATAAGTTCAAGGACCCGTATTTTTAAAGTAATATACATAATTAGTACCGGGTGGAAAGGCTGGAATGTACGGAAAATCGATAAAAATCTACTTAAAAAAGATATATCGATTGATTTTAAACAACTTCAATTTGGGGTAGCTGGTTTGGTTTGTGGACATCTAGCGGAGAATCTTTGGGAGCAGGAGCTGATGTGGGGGTTGAGGTCTTCGGGGATCGGGGGGAGGGCTGGCGGGAGATTGTGAGGCTCTGAAAATGTTTAAATTATAAAGGAAGGAGAGAGAGAGAGAGAGAGAGAGAGAGAGAGAGAGAGCGAGCAAGAGAGCGCGGGAGAGAGAGCGGGAGTGAGAGAGTCAGAGTGAGGGAGAGAGAGACAGAGTGAGGGAGAGTGAGAGAGAGAGAGCGATAGGGAATAAAAGAGACAGACGGAGTGAGAGAGAGAGCAGGAGAGAGAGAGCGAGATATTCGGAAAGACAAGCAAAGCAAGAGCGAGAGAAAAAGAGACAGTGAGAGGGAGAGAGAGCGCTAGAGAGACAGACCGAGTGAGGGAGAGAGAGAGAGAAAGAGCACCACCTATCGTCAGTCTAACTCACCTCAATATCGAGCATCACCGGCTTCGATGCCCCCGGCGATTTCCGGGTCTTATCGTGTAGCCTAGCGACGGCTTCTTGATACGACGGTGGTGTAGCATCAGATGAGATTACGGTATCATATGATGGCGGCGGCTTGGCTCGATCCCTAAAAAAAATTGGATAAGTTTGGACTTTTGCAATTTTTTATGGATCGCATTTTTGGGGCTCAAAAACTCTCGTACCTCCTGCTCAGCTCCTTCAGAATGCCGAACGATGCGCTGAACATGGCGTGCACTTCGAGGACGAATAGGACGACGGAGCTGAGGATCCAGATGAGCTGGGGGACCGGGATCGGCGAGATCGACTCGACGATTTGGAGGCCGTAGAAGAGGGCCGCTGACGAGACGGTCACCTGGAAGATGAAAATATTTAGACGTCATTTATAGCGTTTAAAACTAATCAGGAAGCTTAATAAAAATTTGCTTATCTTAAATTAACGTTAAATTTCTAAAAATATATTTGTTTTATATAAATAAGCAAAACAAAGATTTCTTATTAAAAAACATAAAATTTCCGAAAATCTTAAAATCCCGCTTTAAAACCTAAATTTTTATCTTTCGATTCGTTTTTGCATTTTTAACAAAATTAAAATTGTATTTTCGTTTTTAGCGTTATATTTTCATCAGAATCGACCAAAAATGATAAAAAATGGATAGATAGACCGACACGACGGGGCCGATGTTGGCCGACTGACTAAACGGATTGACTGGGTGGGGGGAGGCACATGGCTGGGGGAATGGTTGATGTGGGAGGGAATGGCAGCACAAATAGACAAACAACAATCTCTTTCCACTGCCTGCAAAACAATATCCGGCTCTTTTTCTCTCTCTCTCTCACGCTCACTCTATCTCTCTCTTTCTCTCTCACTCTCGCTCTCGCTCTCTCTCTCTCTTTTTCTCGCTCTCTTTCTCTCTATCTTTCTCTCTCTTTCTCTCTCTCTCTCTCTCTCTCTCTCTCTCTCTCTCTTTTCTCTTGCTCTCTCTCTCTCTATCTCTCGCTCTCTTTCTCATTCTCTCTCACTCTCTCCTACTCTCTCGCTCTCTCTCTCTCTCTCTCTCTCTAGCTCTCTCTAGCTCTAATACATATCATCAAAAATTATTTTTGCTAAAATTCCTAAAATTATCCAAAAGCGTTCCTTGATGCAAAATTGCTTCTAGTAAACCAGGGGCCCGAAAATGCACCCAACGCCCCGAACAAAAGCCCTCACAAAACCGGAAGTTCCGGTGCCGTTTTTCTGGAATTGAAGGGGCAACAAATAGCCCATCGGAGAAAAATAGCCGGCAGTTAGCTCGGGGCTGAATTTATAGGCTTTTATGCGGCAGGATTTTTGGGGTGATAAAGGTCGGTGCGAACTGATTTTCTCGAAGGTTCGAACGGCCCGATCGGGGTGGGTACGCACCGATACTTGATAACGGCCCAGGAAACTCAAGATTGCAGAAAAAACGCGTGCAAAGTGCTCGAATTTGGGGGTTGTTTTGGAGTTTTTATCAGGTTTTAGTGTATTTTGGGGTTTTAGAGGGAGCTGGCAGCGACAAACGGCGTTCCATTAACTTTACGAACTGACTAAAAATCGTTTGTAAGTGTCGCAACGTTTTACAGGGACCTGGAAACCAAAAAAATGTGCAAAACATTCCAAAAATTTTTTTAAGTATTTTCAAGCGTTTTAGGCTGTTCAAAGGAGCCTTAATGGCAACACCGGGCTTCGAAAAATTGCTAAAAATAATGATGGATGAATTGTAAAACGTTTAACTTTTTAAAGGTACGTTAAAGGCGAGGAAATTCGGCGTGGAAATGCCGAAATACTACATAAAAATTAGAAGAGGTTGAATTACACTAATATAAAATACACTCAAAATTGAATTCAGGATTCATCGTTTCTCTACCCCACTCTCTCTATCTCTCTCTCGCTCTCTCTCCCTCTCTCTCTCTCTCCATCTCTATTTCTCTCTCGCCATGTCACATGTCCATTTTTGGTGTTGTACCAGGGAGAGCGAACAGTCAGTCGGTCAGTCACTTGTTTTGACAGCGCAAAAATAGGGCTCCGGCCAGGGGAAGAAATAAACAGCACTTTCTCAAGGAGGAAATCATCGACCAAACATGTGCTCCGTACTTCAAAAGGTGTTTATTGGGCTTTAAAGGTACTTGGCAGCCTAAAATGTCGAAATTTTTTTAGTCCGTTTAAATCAATCAAAATGTATAAAACAATTCAATAAGTTTTTTTGAAGAACCGGGGAGGGAAAACTAGCCATTAATGAATCAAGCATTGAAAACATACCTTAAAAACGACATTGGGGGCGATGAAGAGCGGCCGTAAGTTGTAGATTCCGTACAGCGCCGCCAGGACGATGATGGTATTGACAAGGAATATCGTGAAGGATAGGGCCGATTCTGTGCCGAAGACCTGGAAGGGATACGGTAGGGTACGTTAGAATACGATTGGCTACGTGAAGCTACCGTAATGTACGGCAGGATACGGTATAATTTCCGGAGCGACGGTAGGTCTCGGTGAGTTACCGTAGGTTACAGGTTAGGGTAGATTTAGCCTCCATGTTAGAATACGCTAGGGTACGGTAGTTTACGCTAGGATACGATAGTGTACGCTATATTATGCTAGGCTACGGTAGGCTGTTTTCGTACATTTTTTTCAAAATGTACCTGTAATGTGAGCATCACTGAGTTCGCAAAGTTGACGACCATCAGCAGGCTGTAGGCCATTCTCGTCTGAAAATAATGATATTGGAATGGTTTTCAAAAATTCACTTTTTAAAGGGATGGTGACACATGGAAAAGGCGGAAGTTAAAATTCCTCAAAAATCGCCGCTAAACTGCCTAGTAGACTATAATTTTCAGGATTAACCCCCGCATTAAGTACAAGTCATTTTTGATCCCCATAAAAGAGCATGAGGTGGCATCACTGGGATTCTGAAGACAACAGGGACAACCCTATAGAGAGCACACAAATCCCTCCTATTTGAATGGCGAGAACGGGGAGAGAGAGGGAGAGAGAGAGAGAGAGAGAGAGAGAGAGAGAGAGGGAGAGAGAGATAGAGATAGAGAGACAAAATGAGAGATACACTGAAAATGCCCTCAAGGTATTTTTTGCTCTCTTCAGAAACCGGTGGTTTTTGCCATGTGTCTTTGCATTTGTCGGGCTCTAAATCCCATTGTTTCCATTATCGGGCCCCAGGATGGTGCGTCAAACCCACGATTTTCTAGGGGGTCAGGGTTCGAGGTGTGGGCGTCGATAGGTGCGAGGTGAAATTTCGGGATTTGTCGCAGCCAGTTTTGCTGGATTACGCCAGGAAAAGCGCTGCTGCGCTGCGCATGTGGCTGCCCCTTTAAACCAATTACGTCACGTAAAAAATTATTGATGCCCTGTGGCGATCGCTTTAAATCGATTACGACATAGAAAATGGATTAGCATTTTATCTTTGTGACGATATCCTTAAAAACTATGACTTCAGGCAAAAAAAAATTGTTAAAAGGTAAAAGGAAAATTAACACGGTTCTGGTTCGGTTTACGACATGAATTTGCCATTGGCTTGATGTCACGCCGCCTTTAAAGCGCTTACGGCATAAAAATGGGCATTCTGCGCCTTTGATTTTACAGATTTTAACGATTTTTACACCAATTACGGCATGAAATGGCCGAGGCCGAGGCCTGTCAAGCCCCATTTAAACCAATTACGACATAAAATACTCATCCTACTGGTTGGGATTTGGCTTTAAACCGATTACGATACCTAAATGGACGCTCCCGTGCCGCTAAGCTTTCGTAAAACCAATTACGGCATCAAAGCCGTCGATTCCGGCGCTGTTTCACTCCATTTAAACCATTTTTCGCTACAGCAGTCTCGTAAAAAACAGCTGTCATAGTCCCTTTAAACCCTAAAAAATTACCCAAAATTACTGTAACTGAACTTATTAATGAATTTAGGACCTAAAAATTGCTATAATTACCGTATCCCCCACTTGCCCGTCCCTTTAAAAACCCACAGATTTGCCAGCCGGACAAAATATCCGTTCCAACGCACTCCTCTGCACGCACCCGTAGGCCATTTGGTAGTGCCGGATGGCCATTATTAGCAAGGGAGTACGGTAGCGTACAGTTAGATAATTATGTGGGGGTCCAAATGAACTGTTTTCAGGCGTGCCGTGTAGTCCTTTTGGGGGTGGCTATTTGTTTATTTAGACAAGGAGGGGAGGGGGCACGCCCTCTGTTTAGGATAAGGAATTATTCATCGTGACGCTTTTAGCTAGGGGTTTTGGCCCGGAAAACAGCGATTTCATAAGGTTTTTTTGGGGTTATGAGAACGTTTTTGGAGGGAACTGTATGCCGTAAATTGCGAAAAAATTGTGAAATTGTAATTTTTAAATATTTCTGGTTTTTTGGCATTATCGGGGGGAGGGACCTCATTTTTCCGATGAGTCGAGGATTTTAAGTGCTGTAATAGAAGGTTTTTAATTGTGTTTTTTTAACAAAAATTTAGCCATATTTTCAATAGGAAAAAATATTTTTTTAACCGTAAAAGTTTCAAAATTTCGAAAAATGGCTCAAAAATCTATTTTTTTTTGCATCGAAAATTGTAAAATTTTTACTTTTTGCTGACAAGCAGTAAAAAAGTTCTGAAAACACTTCCTCTCCGGTGTTAGAAAAATAAATAATATTGTAAAAGATTAAATTAATAATACCAAAAAATTTTACGGAAAAAGTTTGTTTCCTCCCGCCCCCCCGATAATTCAAAAGCACCACAAATGTTGGTTCAAGGTATTTTCAATTTAACGCAACGCTATTTCTATTTGAAAAATTAGGATCCTAAAGAGAAGTTTAATCCCCCACCCCCCGATAATGCAAAAGCTCGCAAAATTCTCTATTTTCCTTTAGTACCGTAACTAATTGGTATATTTCGGTCCAATCTTTCGGGTAATTCCTCACTTCCAAGCCCCCTTGAAAAGATCAACTGACCGCCTGCCATTTTTGCATGATTACGGTAGCCGACGACGGCGTGGGGGGGGGGCAGATGCGGAATAATATCTCAAAAATAGAGACAACTACAATGGTCTAATCCGAGAAGGGGGGCACCCTTTAGGAAAATGGAAAGAATGGCCGGGGAGAACGGGAGGAGCGAGAACGGGAGAGAGAGAGAGAGAGAGAGAGAGAGAGAGAGAGAGAGAGAGAGAGAGAGAGAGAGAGAGAGAGCAAAATCGTAGCGCCACACGATGCGGGGAGAAGACCCTCAAAACAAGAAAAATTCTGGCAAATCCGGGCATTCCGGAACGGATTTTAAGCGAAAATTGATTGCCCTAAACGGGAGAATGGCGAAAAATCGAAGAAAACTAGTTAATCGGTGCTTTTGCCTTATCTGGGGGAGCGAGCTTTTTTGAATGCAATTTTTCGTAAACATTTGTCGCAGAGTTCATAAACGGTTTTCTACGTTTTTTATAAATGTAAAAACGTATTTTTATGTAAAAAAATCAAAGTTACAATAAAAAAGGTTCATATTTTTAAGTTTGTATTTTAGAGTTTCTAGATGTTTTTCCCACTAAAAATATAGATAAATTTTACTAAAATGAAATTAAAATCTTTTACTTAAATATTATTAGGAATTTCTGGACTTCTACAAAAAAAATCTAGTTTTTCGAGATCCCCCCCCGATAATGCCAAAGAACCACATAATTTTTGGCCGTTTTAAGAGGTTGGAGACTTGTATCATCGACTTAATTACCCCATTTTAAAGATTTAAATGATAAAAAGAGTTATACCTTTAGAAAAATTTTAACGTTTGCAATTGACAATTAATTGAGATCTAAAAAAGTCTTTACATGTTTAGTTTATCCTACTATATATAAAAAAATAGTGTCTGTGTGTGTGTGTGTGCCACTTTGCATCCACTTCCGGATGTCTGTCCGGAGGATATCTCAAGAAGGGACGGGTATTGGGCTACGTATGATACGTCATTAGGTGCGTAATGGTCTAGCAATGACTGCACACATATCAAATTTTTAAAAATTGGCCATTTTCGCTATTAAATTTAGGTTTTTGTAAATACCTCTTTGTTAGTAATAATTAGCATAGACCGGAAGTGGGCTCGCCTCTATATAAAAAAGTAGAAGAGGTTGCTTTTCATTTTTTTGTCTTCTGAATAGAGGACAATTATGCAAAGGGCTAAATAGCATGTGGTCTGAGACGGGGCCAGGGTTGAAAAGTCGCGAAGCGGCTTTTCAACCCTGGTTTAGGATTAATTTCATGAAGTTTTGCAAAATTCTGAGCTTCAAAAACAACTCGCAATCCCTAGAAATTGCATCAGCAGCCGCAAGGCAGTTGCTCAAAACATGAAAATGAGCGCGGGGCTTTCCCCGGCTCTCGGGAAGTGTGGCGATTTTCGGTGTATTTTGTGGGTGTACGGAATCGTCCTGCTGACGCCATCTACAAGGTCTCGCAGCGTCAATTGTCGGTGTAAGAAAAAGCGCACTTGGAATTGCGTCTGGCCGCGCGAAATTCCGGATTTTTGCAGGGGTTATTTAAAGTTTTAACGCACCTCTGGGTTCGAGTACGATTTGCAACACGAAAACGCGTTGTTTTTTTAGTTTAAAGGGACAGGCAAGGCAAATATAAGGAATTTGGATACCAGGGAGCGGTTGGTTATGAAAAATTTTTTAAGTCTTTAAGGTATCCTCAAACGCTAGAAAATCCGCTTGGAGCTTCAAATCGCCCCAGTACGTTCAGCTACTAATGTCGATATTTTTCGAGTTTTAAAGGGCCCGACAAAACAAATCTATAAGGAATTATCTGGCTAGAAAGAAAACCATATGGTCTAAGTACGATCAACTACTAAGAACATCCATTTTTCTGGTTTAAAGGGACCGGCAAGCCAAAAATATTCGGATCTTCGGTCCTAGAAGGACGTTGAGTACGTTCAACTACTGATTTCGAATTTTTGCTCTTTAAAGGACCCAGGAAACTCAATCCATAGTCAGTTCTTAAGTCAGAAAGATCAACAGCTGAAATTGATCTTTCAAACTAGCCGTACTCTAAAAGAACATGGAAGTCCAGTTTTGGTATTGCTTGGCTTCGAGCACAAGCAGCTACTAAATCTTCCACTTTTTACAAATTTAAAGGAACTGCGAAGCCAATTTCATAGGCAATTTTTCAGATCAAAAACGAGCAAGAGTTGCAACTCTGCTCTTTCAAGCCCCCTAACTCCCACTCTAAAGCAACATTGAAGTCGAGTTTTGCCCTCCCCATATCCAATTACGCGCTGTAATTAAGGCCTATACTTTTCGACTTTCTAAAGAAACCCGGAATTACATAGCCAGTTATCAAAGCAAAAACGAGCAAAAGTTGAGACTCTGATCTTTCAAACTTTCTAGTCGTAGCGTAAAAGAACATTGAGGTCCAGTTTTGTGCTAATGACGGATTGCGGTGGCTGGGGAAGTGGAGGGAGGGATCAAGAACATTCGGCATGACGGATGGTCATTTAATGTGTGTTATGGGGTCTGATGTCGAGGGAAAGGGAAGGCAAGGCTTCGATTTATGGCTTGCAGCTCGTCTTGGCAAGAAATCAGGGAAAAACCGCGGGAATATCCAGAATTTTAGACGGTTTTTATGCAATTTTAGAAGGAAAATCCATAGTGAAAAATCTCTTAAAAAGCCATTTTTTTGAAAATCCGGATCAGCTATCGGGGGAAAATACGGGATAAAGTTAGGTTCTTTT